TATCATTACCCATTTTCACAAAACCTGAACTTAATGTCTTGAACTCCACAAACAAATCCTTTCTTGGTGTCATGTGAAACGAACACCCTGTATCAAGTACCCATTCATCTGCAGTATTACCCGCTGCTAACAAGGTTTCACTCTCAGCCATCAAAACCATAGAAGGATCATGATTTGCTCCAGATCTTGCAATGCTTGCTTCACCTTTATCTGAACTCTGAGTCTTTCCCTTGTTCTTCTCCAGCCACTTGTAGCATTGTTTCTTGAAATGCCCTTCTTTACCACAAATCCAGCACACTTTCTTGCCATCTCTAGACTTAGACCGAGATCTTCCCTTACCCTTAGGTGTCTGGTTAGAACTATTTCCCTCAGGTCTGCCTCTAACATAGTAACCCTCAGCAACAGCTTTATTGTTCTGAGCAACTTCCCTCTCCTTATCTCTTGCAGCAACCATCACATCATCTAGTCTCAGCTTATCTCTTCCTGTGCTATACTTCAAAGTTTCCACCAAACTATCAAACCTAGAAGGCAAAGAACTCAGCAAAATAATAGCCTGTACCTCATCTGAAACTTCAATCTGAAGATGGTTCAGATCAGCCACAATCTTCAAGAAATCATCAATATTATCATCAATCTTCTTGTTATCTTGCATCTTGAATGTATAGAAGTTTAGCTGCGCATACACTCGATGTGGAAGAGATGTTGGCATGAACATCTTGTCCAAGATAGTCCAAGCTTCTGCTGCGGTATCACACAGTTCTATATTCCTCAGAACCTTGTCCGCACAATTCAAGAAAATCACATGCTTAGCTTTCTCGCATCTCTCCAATCTTGCTGCCTCATCTGTCTCGCGTTTCTTGACAATCTCTTGGTTCGTTAACTCTTCCGCCGTGAGAGGTGGTAACTCAGGTTTTGGAACTAACGCATCCTTCAAGCCAATAACGCTCAGATGTGCACGAATTCTTGTTTTCCAGAGCGAGAAGTCACCGGATCCATCAAACACCGCGATCGGAACTCCAGACATTTTCGTAACAACTTTGCTCCGCCGCCGAACCTGGCTCTGATACCAATTTGTAGAGATTCTTCTCTATCTTTAGACTTGAGCAAATGCTGAACGAAGACGATCTCTGATGAATCTAATATGAATCGAGAACAAGAACAGAAATGAAAGAACACGAGCAATTAACGAGTTCAGAATCCAAACCGGATTCCTACGTCTCGCCGGAGAAACTCCTCCGGAATCCACTAGAACTTGGTGAACAAAGTAATCGTTACAATCTCTCAGATGCTCTCTCTCTCTAAGCTTTCTCACTCTCAGATTCAACTCTCTCTCTCTCCTCAATCCAAATCTAACAAACTCGTAAAAATGAATCGATACAGAGGAAGAGAAGAAGATGACTTAATATAAGAGCTGAAGCGAAAAGACGATTATGCCCCTCCTTGGTTTGTTAGAACCATCAACGGCATCACGTGAAACTCACGTGTTTTCTTCCTGCATCTGAAACTTTGAAACCCTCTCTTGACCTGAGAGTCTTCACCACACTTAGACTCCACCTGAAGAATATCATAGTCAATTACTTCAACTTTGATAGATAAAATGCAAAGTTCTTGAGAATACATAGCTAGTACGTAGCTACTGTGATTCTTCAAATCTTAGACTCTTTTGCTTTGAACCTGCGAAAGCAAACGTTTCTTCATATAGCAAATAACTGTGAGTTTTATAGCTTGTGTGGATGTACAATGAAACTACATAATAAACTCATATAGTTTGCAACTTGCAAGGCAGCTACGTCTTTTAGCTCTCTTGTGCGCTAACACAGAACACAACACAGAGTTCTTAATTCACCCTCTAGTTAAGAGTGCGTACAGAGACTTTCATAAACTACTGTAACATTACATGTTGTAATTAAGGACTGTCAAAGAGATGAGTGTATCTAGTCTCATCACTTTTGTATCTAGCCTTATTCGTGGTGTGGTTAGCCAGCACAGAGTTTTGTTAATGGTTCTTGCATATATGAAGAGTGCAAAGAGTTTTATTAGTTGAAGAGAAGATAACATGTGTTTACATTTCATCAAAAGAGGCGAAACAAGAGGAGCTAGATTTGAATATCAAGATTCAAGATTGCAAAATAATAAATATATTACCTGTCTCTGTCTGTCTAATGGAAAAATTCTTCAGCAGACTCTTGCGAATAAGTAACAAAGGAAACTTCATTTCTTCATGCTTTTAATTTCTCTTTGCTTTCGTTTTGTGTTTCTCTGATTATTAGAAGAACAATGATGATATGACGACTCATTAACTTCGTAAAAAGAGTAAATAACTTGGTTTTACAAGTCATGACACTAAAACAACACATAACAATTATGAGAGGACTGGTTTCAAAAGTTTTAAGTTATATATGATGAAAAAAAAACCCTGAAAAGTCAAACTTTTTGCAAATTTGCGGAATCAATCAAAACCTTTTTCTTTTTTTGGTGTAGAGAGAGTATAGACAATTGGGTTGACGATTGTGCCCTTCACCTACAACATCCAATCCTTTAATGAATAGAGAGAGAGTTAGGCAAAGGAGGAGGACACAAGTGGATAGAGACATAGACATACTCCAATTCCATGTTTTGTAATAAACATTTTCGAAAGCAAAATTAAGACATCTTGTTTAATTTCTAGTCTCAAGGGTAAAAAAAGAAAGACAATGAGACACACACGAGAAGAGAGCGTGAAGCGTATCTTACCAAACCCCAAATAAAGCATATGCGTCTCGAATCTTGCCATTTGGTTTCATGTTATTTGGTACATAAAATCGTTTTATTATACTTGTTCAAGAAAATTTCATTGATCTCTGTGATAAAGTTTAGTCTTTTCTTCAACCACACCAAGAATCAACTTGTTATATGTTGTTGGCATGCTTAAGGGATACTAGTATCAGATTCATGAGTTTAAACGACAATTTCTAAATAACCCTGTGGTAAGAATATTATTAATAATAATACATGATTTTTGCCGTCTTTCTTGATACAAATTAAAGCATTTGTTCTTCATATATATAGTACATAGTAGCATTCAATTTTCAATATGATGATAAATCAAATTAATAGAACTCTTATGAATGCAATAAATGATTCATGTCGAAAATAGTAAAAACATGTTGACACTTGTCACTATCCATAACATTTGTCTATATACGTTTTTTGTTTTCTTTTTGTAAAATTGTCTATATACGTTACTACTATGCACCAACCGTTCTTCTGATATATATTTCATATATATATAAATAAATTTAAAAAAAAAGACTGCCAACCATTCTTGTATTCATCAAAGTTTAACATTGCCTACTCTTTCACAACAACAACAAAAAAAGAAAGAAAGAAAAAGAAAGATTTATTATCCATTGAGTCATCATGATCATGTCTTTAATTTATATCATCCATTGACATAGTTATATGATATGATTAATCACTAAAGCAATGATATAAACTATGATATTAACCATCGTAAAAGAACGTATGCATGCATATATGTGTGGCTCAATCCACACAAGCAATATGATCATATGAAAGCAAAAAAAACAAAGTACCCCATTCACAAACAAATCAACAGAGGAGGAAAATTAAATATCAATGAAACAGAAAGGATTTGTGTTTGGTGAGAAAGCTATATTGTCCATTGATTTTTGGATATATACAAAATTTATCATTATTATGTTTTTTGATTTCGACGTTATTCAAAACTCTTACCAAAAAAACAAAAATAATAATAAACGAGGTGGGGTTGGTGAAGAAGAAGAAGATTACAAAAAAAAAAAAAAAAGAAGATTATATAAAATTTATTTTATCGGTGTTATTTTTTTGATTTTTTCAATATTACATGGACTTCTTAAGTTCTTATTGCTTCGGTTATATCGTCTACATGGGCCCACTCTTTCCACCAAAGCCCAATCAGAATCTCTCTCTCTCTCTCTCTCACTATCTTCACCAACCCACTCCTCTCTCTCTCTCTCTCTCACACCAAACCCATTTACTTTATTTCTCAACACACCCCTTCATTTCTAAATCTTTCTTTTTTTTTACCCATAAGTTCACTTCACATCCAATTTTTGTGGTTGACTTATCTCCTCCAATGTTGACTGCTAATAGTGTTTATAACATATTCCTTCGTAGTTTCAGTTTGGTTGGTGGTTTTGTTATTGATTTGTACGTCTTTCTATGGAGCCAAAGTAGACCAAATCAACCAACAAATGTACAAAGTTATTTAAAAGTTCATATACCCATAAATAGCAAATATTTATTTATAACCTTTTTTTGCTCTGCCTTTACCCTTTAAAATCATTCCTATTTTTTCCTCCTATCTATTAATATCATTTATACACAATAGATTTACTTTTTTCTCTTAGTTATAATTATATACATTAAAATCATTGTCTATCTATTAAAATTACTCTTGCTTATCTATTAAAATCATTGTCACAATGGGATACACCACATGGGAAGGTTGATTTTATGGGTTATATGACAAATATAGATATACATTTTTTTTTGGGTTTATCTTCATTTATGATTTTAATTCTCTCACTCTTAAAAAAAAAAAACAAATACAACACGTTTTTTTATTCGTTGACACCATTTTTTGTACAAGAAATTACGATGCTTTTTTCTAAATCATTATATAAGTACATGTACCATAAAAAAATGTTTTTAAAAGTAATAATTTCAACATAAGATAAAATATATCTATATAAAAAATTGAAACTCCTATGATTTTTTATTTAATGCTTTTACAATCTATTAATTATTACCAATACACATTCTGCGTTTATATGTGATTTTCAACCCAAAAAAAAATATAAAAAGGCAGCTTACCAAACGCGACGTGAAAAAATGCAAACCCATACTCTACGATAATGACAAAAATACCCTCATAATTATCAAAAAACTACAAAACTAACATTTTCACCAACCCCACCGTTTACTCCCGATGTGTGCTCTCTATATGAACTCCTCCGACACAAGTCTAGTCTCCTTCAGGCCAAAGCCTAATAATTCCTCACAAAACAGAAAAGCAAAAAAAAAAAAACAAAACCAAAACTTTTGGTTAATCTCTACAGCTTCATTCATCATTACAAATGGCGCCACCGCAAGAAGTGATGGAGAAACAGAGCAACAACGGTGACGTCATATTCCGATCAAAGCTGCCTGATATTTACATCCCAAACCACCTCTCTCTCCACGACTACGTCTTCCAAAACATCTCCGACTTCGCCTCCAAGCCTTGCCTCATCAACGGACCAACCGGCCACGTCTACACTTACTCCGACGTCCACGTCATTTCCCGCCGGATCGCCGCCGGTTTTCACAAACTCGGCGTTAACCAGAACGACGTCATCATGATCCTCCTCCCTAACTGCCCCGAGTTCGTCCTCTCTTTCCTCGCCGCTTCTTTCCGCGGCGCAACCGCCACCGCCGCTAACCCTTTCTTCACTCCAGCGGAGATCGCCAAACAGGCCAAAGCCTCCAACACCAAACTCATCGTCACCGAGTCACGCTACGTCGACAAGATCAAACCCCTCCAAAACGACGAAGGGGTCGTCATCGTTTGCATCGACGATAACGAATCCGTCCCTATCCCCGAAGGCTGCCTCCGCTTCACGGAGCTGACTCAGTCGACGACCGAGTCATCAGACGTCATCGACTCGGTGAAGATTTCGCCGGACGACGTGGTGGCGCTTCCTTACTCCTCCGGCACGACGGGGTTACCCAAAGGAGTGATGCTGACTCACAAGGGACTAGTCACGAGCGTGGCTCAGCAAGTCGACGGAGAGAATCCGAATCTTTATTTCCACAGCGACGACGTCATACTCTGTGTTTTGCCGATGTTTCATATCTACGCTTTGAACTCGATCATGTTGTGTGGGCTTAGGGTTGGTGCGGCGATCTTGATAATGCCTAAATTCGAGATCCATCTGCTTTTGGAGCTGATTCAGAGGTGTAAAGTGACGGTGGCTCCGATGGTTCCGCCGATTGTCTTGGCCATAGCAAAGTCGCCGGAGACGGAGAGGTATGATCTGAGTTCGATAAGAGTGGTGAAATCAGGTGCTGCTCCGCTTGGTAAAGAGCTTGAAGATGCCGTTAGTGCCAAGTTTCCTAACGCCAAGCTTGGTCAGGTGTGTCTCTCACTTTTTTTTTGTTTTTTTCGAAAATACGAAATAGTAATAAATTAAAGGATATATCAAAATAAATATCCGGAATGGAATCTCATAATATAAATTCAACAAAAAAGATACATATATATTAAAACATTTTTGGTTGGTAATTATGAACTATAAATTTTTAAAATATTTTTTTGGAAAATAACTATAGTTTTTTTTCATTATATATATCATTTTTAGTAACCAAAAAAAAATGTGTGCTATATTTTATAAATAAAATCTTCTGTTATTAAGAAGAATATCTTGTTATTTAGTTAATATAAGAGTATGTTATTTAGAGAATATCACACAATTACATGATACTTTTGAATATAATCTTTACCTATTATAGTTAAAATGGTATGAACATAAGAAAAACATCTATTGACTCACATTTTGGCTAATTAGTATTACACTTTGTATTTTATCTATGTTGATCACTAGACTAACACACAATTAAATGCTAATTTTGAATTAAACCCCCATTAATCTTTTACCTATTATAGTGACAATTGTATGAACCTAAGAAAACTATATATTGACTCGCATTTTGGCTAATTAGTATTAGTTGTATTTTATCTATGTTGATCATTAGAAATATATAAAAACTAAATATAAAATTTGAAAACAAGATTTGATGTGGACGTGAATATTGATTTTGGTGGTGTTATTGGAAAATGTTAATACGATGGAACAGGGATACGGAATGACAGAAGCAGGTCCAGTGCTAGCAATGTCGTTAGGATTCGCAAAAGAGCCGTTTCCAGTGAAATCAGGAGCTTGTGGTACGGTTGTAAGAAACGCTGAGATGAAAATAGTCGATCCGGACACCGGAGATTCTCTTCCGAGGAACCAACCGGGAGAGATATGCATCCGTGGTCACCAGATTATGAAAGGATACCTCAACAACCCGGGGGCTACAGCTGAGACCATTGATAAAGATGGTTGGCTTCACACCGGAGATATTGGATTGATAGACGACGATGACGAGCTTTTCATTGTTGATAGATTGAAAGAGCTTATCAAGTATAAAGGTTTTCAGGTGGCTCCTGCTGAGCTAGAAGCCTTGCTCATTAGTCATCCTGACATCACTGATGTTGCCGTTGTCGCGTAAGTTCAAATATTTAACTATTATAATTTCAATTTGCTGATGACGAATATATATTTGTTAAGCCAACTACATTGTTGACCAAATTATGTTGGTAGTTCAACAATTTATGTTTTAGCTTATATCACTAGCTAATCCAAAAAATTTACTTACTAATCGTCAAAATGTAACGTTAATATATGTCGTTGAACTAACACCTACGAAACGAACATTATGTACAATGTAGACGCGCCAATCGATGTTTTCGATATCTGCTTACCCCTTTTTGTTGTTTATGTGTGATGTAACAGAATGAAAGAAGAAGCAGCTGGTGAAGTGCCTGTTGCGTTTGTGGTGAAGTCAAAGGATTCAGAGTTATCAGAAGATGAAGTGAAACAATTTGTGTCGAAACAGGTAAAATTATATATTGAATTACAATGCAAGCAAGTTCTTGATTTTGATCGAGCATATTAACTTATGATATCATTTGTTTATATGTATGTGAATCACCAGGTTGTGTTTTACAAGAGAATCAACAAAGTGTTCTTCACTGAGACCATACCTAAAGCTCCATCAGGAAAGATATTGAGGAAAGATCTGAGGGCAAAGTTAGCAAACGGGTTCTGATGATCATATCGATGATTTAAACCAAAGAGATAACAAAGAAAAGAAAGCAAAAGATGATTTCAATGTGTATATACATTACAAGCTGTTTGACCCAAAGCGAAGGAAACAAAGTATTCTTCAGTGAGACCAGTTCCTAAAGCTCCATTGTTGTCTTTTGTTGTCTGTCTGTTTGTTGTTTTGTTTTTGGTTCGTGCAATGATGATGGGCCTTGATAACAAGGTAGTTTATTTTTATTTTTGGTTTCATGTAACTTGTGCTGGAGAAAACAGCAGACCTTTTTTTTTTCATATAATAAACTTACTCGGATTTTATATGCAAACAGCAGACCTTTGTGTGTTCTTCATGTTCTCAGGTTAACTTAGCTGCTCTAGTTCACAGAACGAAGACTAACCATTAACAATAACTCTCCTCTCCCATCTTTAAGTTTCTTCAACGCAAAAGGCAAAACTTATTATTAAAAAATCAAGACAGCTACATTGGGGTGATAAAATGCACCAACCATCTTAAGCATTAGAATTTGATCTCACTGTTCTGTTCCATTCCAGCAAATATAAAAACCCAAAGATTCAATAATCCCAAAACCCTCTCTTCAATTAATATAGCATCTTCTATTATCTAATATCTAATTTGACAAATCATGGTTTCTCTCCCTGCATACGAGGACTGGACTTTAACAAAACTAAAACACACAATTCAAGGTGTATAAGATAAGGAGCTAAAATGATCATCTATGATGCCGGCTGATAACTCAAACAACCAATCAAACATCCGAAAATATGTCTTTAAAAAAGTAGAGATCAACATCTTAAGGGTCTTACATAGAAAAGTCTCATGAAACATTATTCTTAAACAAAACCTTCCACTAGTAGCATTTTGTATCTCTAGATACTTGTTAAGATGTATTAAGATACCTTGCTTAAGTGACGGAAAGGCGTGGGACACAAAAGTCAACAAGCAGACCTGTTGGCCCTATGTCCGGCGGCCAATAAAACATCCTGCTCAAAGCTACCTTGAGAACTATGAACTTCTTCTTGTACCACACCTTCACTATTGCGATAGACTTCCCTTCAATCTTCTCGACTCCAAGAATAATCCCATCTCTAAGTCCAACATAGCGGGTTGGCTCACCTGAGGAGGCACAGTAAATTGCCTACCACACAACAACAAAAATGAATTAAATACTATACATCAAACGTTTGTCATATCTCTCTCTCTCTCTCTCTCTCTTTCTCATATTTTATATTGAATTCTAATGTCTATAAGAGAATCTTACGTCTTGTTGAAGTTCAATGTGTGGACTGAACACATGCAGTTTTGCTCCCACGGGTTGATTCACCAAAATTTCACGTGCTTCCTCAAAATCCTTAGGCTCAGTCACTTGTCCTTCCAAGGAAACGAGAGCAGGTTTGTGAGATGATGGGGGCTTTGACTTAGATCCCAACTGTGGCCAATCTTCTGCTTTCGGTATGCCCTTTTTTAAGGCAAATTCAAGGCAGTCTTTGACAGTGAGCTTGCTCCTGCGTGAACCAGCATTGTCCACCAAATACTGAGCTGAGTACTCAGTACGGACGCTATCCAGATTATGTGCAAGCCGAGCAGAGCTGATCAATTCAGCCGCTACAATAGCAGCAGAAGCAGATACATCTGCAAAGACAAAACACAGATGGAAAAATGAATCAAAAAATGTGAATGTATTCAAATTTTACAAGGGATTAGATCAGAGTAGGCACTTTTGTTTGCATCAGTTGAAAACCAAAAACGGAAAGCGTATACAATGCTTACCATGCTTTTTGTCAAACTTAAAATCTTTCTTTCGGCCAAATGAAACTGCCATTGTAAATTTGGGATCATAGGGAGGGAGTGCCATCTTCAATTACTTAACCCTGAAAAATAATTTTGCAAGGTGAAATGTTAATACATTATGAATGTGAACAGAAAATGGAAAGAGCATTAAGTAGGGAAATCAAAGTGAAAATGATTCTCACAAATGTATTTATTGTTCTGATGCAATAACGAAAGAAGGGAAAAACAAGAGAGTTTTGGAGACATTTTTAATCAACGACAAAATAAAAACAGCTTCTTTACCAAAGAATGGCCAAGCCGCTAAAGGAGGATTAAACGTGAAATCTAACTAAAAGATACTTATTTTGTTCACAAATCACACTGCAAAGGGCAAATCACAAGCAAAAACCGTAACTAAAAGCTCTTCACTGTTCTCTACTCAGGATTAAACACTAAAACCTTACCCAAAAGCTCCTCATTGTTTACTAGTCACACTAAAAAATAAAGACTATGCACAAGAAAAAAACCGTAACATACCAAAGCAAGCTAAAGAAATCCCAACTTAGAAAAAATCCTGAAAAGTAACACTAATTAACCTGAAAAAGACGACATTTTTATCCAAGAGACAGCAAAAGAAGACATTTTTACCAATGACGAAAAACAGATCAAAGATGAGTCTGTGGCTAAATCGAGCCAATGTAATAGCTTTTTTACCAAAGAATAACCAATTTAAAAGAAGTTTATACGCTAAAACCTAACAAAAAGCTCCTCATGGTTCATTAATCACACTATAAAAGGCAAAAAGAAGACAATTTCTTCAAAGAAATAGCAAAAAGAAGACACTTTTAACAATGACAAGAAACAGAGAGATGAGTTTTTAGCCATGTGCCTAACTCAAACCTAAGTGATAGCTTCTTTACCAAAGAATAACCAAACGAAAACTCCTTATTCAATAATCACACTGAAAAAGGCAATGGCACAAGCAAAAAATACATAACAAACCTAAATCAGAACTAAAAGCTCTTCATTGTTCACTAATCACACTAAAAATTAAAGCAACTCACAAGCAAAAACTGTAACAAACCAAAGCAACCTAAAAAAATTCCAGCTTTGAAAAAACCCTAAAACGTAACACTCAACAACCCGAAAAAGAAGTCATTTGTATCAAAGAAACTGCAAAAGAAGACGTTTTTATCAGTGACAAGAAACAGTGGCTAGATCGAACTAATGTGTGATAGCGTCTTTAAGAAAAACGATCGAGCTACTGTGATAGTAAAGGAGGATTAAAAGCTAACAAAACCTAACCAGAAGCTCCCCATTGCTCACTAATCACACTGAAAATGGCTATGGCCTATGGCACAAGCAAACACCGTAACAAAACCAAAGCAAGCTACAAAACTCCCAACTTTGAGAAAAAAAAACCCTAGAAAGTAACATTATTCTCACTTACACAAAGGAGAACTCACAAAGCAAGCAGAATCAGAGTAATAAGCCAAAGGCAGCCAGCCAGAGGATTCAGAACATTTAGTTAGTATATATATACACAAGAGAATGGGTGACTCGGAAAACCCTAGAGAGAGGACAGATGTCATGATCCTGAGTCATTAAGCGTATCAAGGGCTGCGAATTCGCAACTTTTTTCTCCTTCGTACAAGCTTTTGAACATCAGTCATTAGTCATCAGTCATCACCTCTCTCTTTGCTCTGTGTTTTTACTTTTTAGTTTCTTGTCGTTTTCCAAATTTGAAGATGACCGTTGTACACTATACGACGTCGCTTTGTAATTGGGCCTAATCCTTAGAAGGCCCAAGTTTCTCGTTTCTTTCGTGTAGACCCACGTTGGAAAACACCAACAAGGAAGGAAGGATGTAACATTTTAGGGCTTTTATGGATTGGGGAACATTAAGGTTTGTTTTTGTTTTTCCTGAGATGATAAAATATGCATTGTAATTTGTAAAATTTTCCGTAACTCCTTAACTTGAGACCGCACAATTCAACTTAATGAAAAGAAAAGGTAGGTATATGAAATATCTTATTGTTCTGTTTCCTTTCCTTCAAAAATAAACACAAAGGTTCAATCAAATGCATCTCTCCAGTTTCCCAAGTTTTCTACTCCCAAGCTTCAAAATAAACCATACAACATATAAATACATTCTTGTCGTGTGACAGAGATACAGACAGACATGAGTTCTTTATCAAGTTTTCAAAATCTGCTTAATCCATAGCATCTTCTATTATCCATATATTCTCCCAGCATACGAGAGGACTGACTTTAAACAAAACTAAAACACACACAATTCGATGATCCCCTGATAACAGTAGATTATCCCAAAATATGTCTTTAGAAAGTACTGATCAACTTCTTAAGGGTCTTACATGTTATAAAACAAACAGTCTCATGAAACCTTATTCTTCCACTAGTAGCATATTGTATCTCTAGATTAGATTGATATCTTTCTTAATCGATGGATAGGCGTGGGACACAAAAGTCAACAAGCAGAAATGTTAGTCCGATGTCCTCGAGCCCTGCGGCTGCAGGATATTGGCATAAAAACATCCTGCTCAAAGCCACTTTAAGAACTGTGAACTTCTTCTTGTACCATACCTTCACTATTGCCATAGACTTCCCTTGGATCTTCTCAACTCCAAGAATGATCCCATCTCTAAGTCCAACATAGCTGGTTGCCTCACCCGAGGAGCCACAGTAAATTGCCTACCACACAACAAAACACATGAATAGATATTATACATCAAATGTTTCTCATATCTCTCTCTCTCTCTCTCTTTTTTATTTATATCTGAAACTTACGTCCTGTTGAAGTTCAATGTGTGGACTGAACACATGCAGTTTTGCTCCCACCAGTTGATTCACCAAAAAGTCACGTGCTTCCTCAAAATTCTTAGGCTCAATCACTTGTCCTTTCATGGAAACGAGAGCAGGTTTGTAAGATGATGATGGGGGTTTTGACTCAGATCTCAACTGTGGCCAATCTTCTGCTTTCGGTATGCCCTTGTTTAAGGCAAACTCAAGGCAGTCTTTGACAGTGAGCTTGATCCCGGGTGAGCCAGTATTGTCCACCAAATACTGAGCTGAGTACTCAGTATGGACACTATCCAGCTTCTGTGCAAGCCGTGCAGAGCTGATCAGTTCAGCAGCTACGATAGCAGCGGAAGCAGATTCATCTGCAAAGACAAAACACAAATGGAAAAATGAATCAAACTTTAAACTGTGAATGTCTTAAAACTAGCGTAGGTACTTTTTTCGCAGCAGTTAGAAACCAACAGAAAAGATTATATACTAGAGTGAAAAGTTTACCGTGCTCTTGGTCAATCTCAACCTCTGTCTCTCCGTGTTCGCTGATCCTGAAGGCCGTTGTGAAGTTGGGATCATAGGGTGGGAGTTCCATCTGCTATTACTTGACCCTGAATATTTCATGGTGAAGTGTTTATACGTTATAAATGTGAACAGGAAATGGAAAGAGCGTTAAGTGGAAATCAAAGTAAACCGATTCTCAGAAATGTATTTACTGTCCAGAGGCATTAACGACAGTTTTGGAAACTTGTTTCCTAACTAGATCAACGAAATAGCAAAAAACATATCTATCAGTTTGTGGCATAATCAGACCAATGTGATGTGATTGCTTCATTACCAAAGAATGACCAAAGTACAGAAGGATTAAACGCTAAAAACCCTAGCTAAAAGCTCCTCATTGTTCACGAATTACACGGAAATACCTTCTCTTTACCAAAGAATGACCAATTTAAAACTTAAAAGTGGTATGAAAACTAAAGCCTAAAAGCTCCTCATTGTTCACTAATCACAATGAAAAAGAAGACATTTTCTTCCAAGTTAGATCAAAGAAATAGCAAAAAGAAGACACTTTTATCAATGACAAGAAACAGAGAAATGAGTTTGTTGCCAACTGCTTAAATGGAACCAATTGCAATGTGATAGCTTCTTTAACAAAGAATGACCAAACTAAAGCTCATCATCACTAATCACACTGCAAAAAGCAATGGCACAAGCAAAATCCGTAGCAAATCTGAATACATACCTAAAAGCTACTCATTATTCACTAAGCACACTATAAATTAAAGGCAACTCACAAGCAAAAACTGTAACAAACCAAAGCAAGCTAAACAAATCCCAGCTAACAAAAAACCCCTAAGAGGTAACACTTATCAACCTGAAAAAGAAGCATTTTTATCAATAATAAGAAACATATTAAAGATGATTTTGTATCTAGATCGAACTACTGTGACAGCTAAAGGAGGATTAAACGCTAAAACCTAACTAAAAGCTCCTCATTGTTCACTAATCACACTGAAAAAGGCTATGGCACAAGCAAACACCGTAACAAAACCAAAGCAAGCTACAAAACTCCCAACTTTGAGAAAAAAAAACCCTAGAAAGTAACAGTAATCTCACTTACACAAAGGAGAAGCTCACAAAGCAAGCAGAATCAGAGTAATAAGCCAAAGGCAGCTAGAGGAATCACAACATTTAGTATATATACACAAGAGAGAATGGGAAACTCGGAAAACCCTAGAGAGAGGACAGATGTCATCATCCTGAGTCATTAAGCGTATCAAGGGCTGCGAATAGCAAGTTTTTTCTCCTCCGTACAAGCTTTTGCATTCATGATTCATTACTTCTCTCTGCTCTGTGTTTTTAGTTTCTTGTCGTTTTCCAAATTTGAAGATGACCGTTGTGCCTTATACGACCTCGGTTTAGTAATTGGGCCTCCTCTTAAACAGGCCCAAGTTTCTCATTTCTTTCATTTAGACCCACTTTGTGATCAACGTGAATGTTCTAAACTGTGGAGAGACAATTAGTCCAATACGGCGTCGTTCGACGGACTAAAGTAGTAAAGTGTTTGGTTTTCTTGTTTTTGTATATACATTTTTTGTATATACAACTTCACACACGACTTGCTCTCCAAGCAATAATTATTCTAAATGTCAGAAATAAAGCAATAATTGCACATTATCTCTATTTCATTTTTCGCGAAATTGTCCCAAGTTTTATGGTATTTTCAATTACCCCAGAATCTTTTGACATTTACCGCATTGTTCGTCATTCATGTTCAATGTTCACAGGTCCATTCTATTGCAGCATAGTGAGTTTTCTTTTAAACTGAAATTAAATTACAAAGTAAAAAGGCTTATCCATCAAACACAAAGCCAAAGATTCAATAATCCCCAAAAACTCTCTCTTTCAACTCTGTTATCTATCTAATATCTGATTTGCCAAATCATGGCTACTCCCTGCAAACGAGAGGACTGACATTAACAAAACTAAAACACACAATTCAAGGTGTCTAAGATTACGAGCTGAAATGGCCAATATCTAATGATGCCTGATAACTTTAATCATCCCAATATATGTCTTTAGAAAGTAAAGATCAACATCTTAAGGGTCTTACATATAGAAAAGTCTCATGAAACATTATTCTTAAACAAACCTTCCACTAGTAGCATACTGTATCTCTGGATTAGATTTCTTGTTTAATCGATGGATAGGCGTGGGACACAAAAGTCAACAAGCAGATGTGATGGCCCTACGTTAGACTGTGAGCCCGGCTCGCCAACAGCGTACTGAACAAACCACCTGCTCATAGCCACTTTGAGAAATCTGAACTTCTTCTTGTACCAAATCTTCACTGTTGCAATGGACTTTCCTTGGATCTTCTCCACTCCAACAATGATACCATCTCTAAGTCCAACATAGCTGGCTCGCTCACCTGAGGGGCCACAGTAAATTGCCTACAATACGAAACAAATATTATAGATCAAATGTTTTTTCATATTTAGTTTTCTCTCTCTCATTTTATATTTCCTGAATTTAACGTCTAACAGCACTTACATCTTTTTGAAGTTCAATGTGTGGGTTGAACACATGCAGTTTTGCTCCCACGGGTAGATGCACAACCAAGTCACTGGCTTCCTCCAAATCCTTAGGCACAATCACTTTTCCTTTCATGGAAACGAGAGCAGGCTTGTACGATGATGGGGGCTTTGACTCAGATCCCAACTGTGGCCAATCTTCTGCTTTTGGTATGCCTTTGTTTAACGCAAACTCAAGGCAGCCTTTGACAGTGAGCTTGTGCCCGGTTGAGCCAGCAGCATTGTCCACCAAATACTGAGCAGAGTACTCGGTATAGACACTATCCAGCTTAATTTTAAGCCGTGCAGAGCTTATCAGATCAACCGCTACCATAGCAGCAGAAACAGCTTCATCTGCAAAGACAAAACACAAATATAAAAATGAATCAAAATTTCTTTTAAAACCAGAGTAGATTCTTGTTCGCATCGGTTAAAAACCAATAAAGAAAAGATCTTGGCAAGTTTACCGTGCTCTTGGTCATTCTCAGTCTTTGGCTTTGGGAAGTATGCGACTGCCAGTGCGAAATTGGGATCATAGGGGGGGAGTGCCATCTGCAATTACTTAAACCCTGAAAATTTGCAAGGTTCAATGTTAAAACATTATAAATGTGAACAGGAAATGGAAAGAACATTAACAAGGGAATCAAAGTGAACCGATGTAAACAAATTTTTTTACTGTTCAGACTTCAGTCTTAGGAAACATCTTTACCAAAGAATAACCAAACTAAAGGAGGATTGGAAAACCTTTGCTTCCAAATTAGATCAAAGAAGTAGCAAAAAGAAGAAAAATTTATCAATGACCAAAAAAACTAGCTAAAGGAGGATTAAACGCTAGAACCTAACTAAAAAGCTCCTCATTGTTCACTAATCATCACACTACAAAAGGCAATTCACAAGAAAAACCCGTAACAAATGAATCCAAGCTAACAAGTTCCAACTTAGAAAAAAACCCCTAAAAGGTAACAGTTATCAACCTGAAAAGAAGACATTTTATCAGTGACAAGAACCAGATGGATGAGTTTGCTGCTAAACCGAACTAGTGTGATAGCTTATTTACCAAAGAATGACAAAACTAGCTAGATGAGGATTAAACGCTAAAACCTAAGTCAAAGCTCCTAAATGTTTACTAATCACACTGAAATTTAAAGGCAATACACCACCAAAAACTGTAACTAAAAGCTCCTCAATGTTCACTAATCAGACTGAAATTTAAAGGCGATACACAAGCAAAATCCGTAACAAACCAAAACAAGCTGAAAAAAAACCCTAAAAGTTAACACTAATGACACTGAAAAAAGACTTTTGGCAAAGAAAGAGCAAATTAAGACACTTTAATCACTGACAAGTAACAGATCCAAGATGAGTTTGTGGCTGAATCGAACCAATGTGATAGCTTCTTTACCAAAGAATGACCAAACTAAAGGAGGATTAAAGCTAAAAAAACCTAACCAAAAGCTCTTCATTGTTCACTAATCACACTAAAAACACAAAAGGCAACTCACAAGCAAAAACTGTAACGAACCAAAGCAAGCTAAACATTTACAGCTTTGAAAAAACCCTAAAAAGATGACATTTTTCTCAAAGAAACAGCAAAAGAAGACATTTTTATCAAATGACAAGAAACAGATCAAAGATGAGTTTGTGGCTAGATCGAACTAACGTATGCTACCTTCTTTACCAAAGAACGATCGAACTACTGTGATAGGTAAAGGAGGATTAAACACACAAAAAAAACAAACCAAAAGCTCCTTATTGTTCGCTAATCACACATTAAAAGGAAATGGCACAAGCAAAAACCGTAACAAAACCAAAGCAAGCTACAAAATTCCTACCTTTCAAAAAAAAAAACCCTAGAAAGTAACACTAATCTCACTTACACAAAGGGGAACTCACAAAGCAAGCAGAATCAGAGTAACAAGCCAAAGGCAGCTAGAGGAATCAGGTCATTTAGTATATATACACAAGAGAGAATGAGCAACTCGAAAAATACCCTAGAGAGAGGACAGATGTCATCATCCTGAGTCATGAAGCGTATCAAGGGCTGCGAATTCGCAACTTTTTCTCCTCCGTACAAGCTTTTGCATTCATGATTCACAGCACCTCTGCTCTGTGTTTTTAGTTTCTTGTCGTTTTCCAAATTTGAAGATGACCGTTGTATCTTACATTCGCTTTAATATTGGGCTTTTATCTTCAGCAGGCCCAAGTTTCTCTTTGTGATTAACAAGAATGTTTTAAACTGGTGAGAGACTTACAAACACAAATAGTCCAAAACGGTGTCGTTTACAACAAGAAGACTTTATCAAAAGAGAAAAGTAAAACCCCGAGAATGAAGAAGCCATCTAACCATAAATGGAAACAAAACGCTCCGTTTAGTCTTAGAGATGCAAAATTGACAAAGCTAATTAATGGCAAAAGAAAGGCAAATAAAACTTTTATGAAACGATTCAAGAAAGCTACATTGGGGAAGGATACATATGGCTCCATCGTAAGCATAAGCATACGCATTTACCATTGTTCTCTTTAATCTTTCTAAAGAACAATAACCCAAAGATCCAATAATCCCAAAACCCTCTCTTCTCTCGAGTTTTTTTACTCCCTAAATAAATGTAAAGATTCATAGACCCTTCTTGATTAGTAACTGATTAATGAAGAAAAGAAAAGCTTACACAAAAATTGGAGAAAGACTCAAAAAGAACAGTAGTAACACAAAACAAAAAATGTAAGTTGAAGAGAGGAGAGATATAGAGAAAACGCTATGTGGTTGGAGAAGAAGAAGAAGAAGAGGACAGAGGACGAGGAGGAGGCAAGAGTTGATGTAGATTCTGAGGAGACCTGTTCTGGCTCGGACTTGCTCTTAATATGAAAGGATGTTGCAGAAGCTGCATCGCACTTCTCCTTTTCCCTGGTTCTCTCTGCAAGCAACACGATATAAAGTGCCTAAACTCCGGTGTAGCCGTCGGTGGAGCTTCGGGCGGCTGCGCCATACAAATGGCACACATGAGGCTTGCCCAATCACCTTGTCTGCTCACAGGGAAAGGAAACCTCCCTAAATAGAACTCCAGAATGCTTACACCTAAGCTCCAAATATCTCCGGCGTAACCATCGTACTTCCCCTGATTCAGATCAGTGTTGATCCTCTCAGGACTCATATAGGCAATGGTTCCTACAGACGAGTTACAGGGATCCATAGTCTGAGCCAAGATCCTACTCACTCCAAAATCAGCAATCTTAACGTTCTTAGCAGAGTTAATCAAAAGATTCGAAGGCTTGATGTCACGGTGAACGATGTGACGGCCATGGAGATAAGCTAAACCACTAAGAATCTGACGAGATAGATCAGCTAACTGTTGCTCTTTCCATACATGAGCACCTTCTAAAGATCCTTTATCCATAAACTCAAGCAAAACCTGGATCTCACCGTTCTGATCATACATCTCGTGACATTTCACAACGTTGGGGTGATTCACATCACGCAAAATCTCAATCTCTCTACAGATCTGACGCCTCACGGTCTCCTCGTGGTTACCGTATATCACCTTGAGTGCGTACAGGCGAGAACTCGGACGGTGAACCACTTTGTAAACCGTTCCACCAGCTCCGCTTCCGATCCGGTTCCCTCGCACTAAATCCGAATAGTTCTTCGGTTCCGAAGAGCTGTTACAGTTCGTGGACGTAGCTGATGAAGCCGAACTACCGGAAGACGGGGCAGATCCGCCGGAGCCACCAGAAGTCGGTGGGAGAGGAAGAGGCACAGCGAGAGAAACATCGCGCTGAGGAAGAGGTAAGGTTAGATCAGGACGGCGACGGGGACGGCTCTTAACCGGAACGGATACTCCCGGAGGCGATTGAATCGGTCTCATAGCTTTCGAATCAAAGAGTTTTTCTTAAGCTTCGGGTTTCACGATCTGAAAATTTGAAAGCTCGATTGAAGATTGAAGCTGTTACACATATATATAAGATCTTCGTAACTTTGATTAAGTCGTCGTCGTCTCTTCGACTTCGTCGTCGTGGCTTGTCGTCTTCTAGGGTTTGGCGCAGGCTTGAATTGATTCGTTCTTCGAAGCGATCAAATCAGAAAAATGAGAAATGAAGGTTCGTCGAAAAAGAAATTGAGAGGACACTGTGTGAGAAGAAAAGGGAACGTTAAAATTATTTTCTTTTCAGAAAAAAGAAAAAAAGAAACAAATATAAAAAATTGTCAAAATCGAGAAAAAGGTATCTACGCGATTTGTAAGCGCGTGATGCATATTCGCAGGTATTGAAACCAAATATATGTGTGGTTCACACTTGGCTTTGTTCAGTTAATATATGTCACTAAGTTGTGTCGATTTGTTGGTTTTGTGATTATAAAAAATCCAAAGATGGAAATGGACACTAAAAATCAAAAACTATTATTATTGGTACATGCATTATTAGTAAATAAAATCGACCATATTTTGGAATTTTTGTTTTATTTGGATTGCATATTTGGGAAATACATCTGTATATTAACACAAAATTGGATATCCAATCATATTGTGACTTCTCATGCTTTTTAGACAATATATACCAAAACTATGTTATATTGCTAACAAATGAAATGATGAGTTTCTGTTTGACTGTTTCTGAATAATGTTCTAAAATTTCTTAAGATTGTACATTCATAAAAAATGCAAGTGTATAACTTGTTTCTCTTCAAGTAAGTCATTTTTTTCAATACAGCAATACAAACTCTTGACTTATTGTGATGGTGTATTAATTCTCCACACATGTGCTGAGTTTTATGCTATTCTCACTGTTGTGTAACAACCAATCAAGATCTTGTTTTTACGCCATAAGAGAAGTCTTCATTTTGATTATTTGCATACAAAAATTTGAAAGAGGATGAATAGATGCAAAACAAGAAACGGAAAACACAAAGTCATTATTATGATTGGAATGAGTCTATCTCTCACTCAAGCTCCATTGCTGACAATAAAAGGAAGATTAAAAACTTTGATAACAACAGTTTCTTGCATTCCTTAAGCACATCATTAGCTCAAACTTGTTTCTCAATTGTAAAAGTCTCAAACTGCAGGTGCATCTGAGCGCAAAACTGTCAAGAAACAAAAACAATGTGAAAATGTTTAGAAAAACGGGTGAACAAAGAAAAGTATAAAGCTGATACATTTTCAAATAGAGTTAATCTAAAAAACCACGAAATCATTGTCTCTGACTCTGTAAACTCTAATCTGCAAAGTGAAATCACTGTCTAGAGACAGAGAAGACATCTAAATGCAAAAGGTTCCCAATCATCTTTCATTCAAGCTTCTAAAATAAGAGAGACATCTAGATGCAAAGGTTCCCCAATCATGTTTCATCTGTGCTTCATCTTCTTGTTACGCACAAAAAACTTAGTTTTGAGGTTTTCACACATAACATCAACTTATGAGTATAGTATTGAATTGACCAAATCCAGAAGCAGAGGTAAGGTTAATTCAAAGTCAATTCTACAACTTTATATATCTATGATTCTAAAATGAAACATTTCTTCTCTTAAAAGTCAATAGCTTTCCCAAAAGGATCTACAAAATAAGATATATCAATCTACAGATTCCAACAAATTATCCCAAAATCAAATCGAAATCAAGGATGCAAGAAACACGAAGAATCCAGATCCAATGATCCGAACATAAAAGGATCGAGAAACGTACCAGGTTTCTGAGCCTTCCCATCAGCCCATTTGGATAGAGAGAAGTGAACCTTCTCGCGAGTTAAGGCTTCAGCTCTGTGTGGTTCCTTGAGACAGTTCCTCACGAGATTGGCACAGATGTTTGAATAGGTTATGTAAGTCATACCCGCCGCTCTCCAGAACGGAACCGCCGCAGTCGATGCCATCTCCGATCAGATCTCTTTCCTTCGTTTCTTCTGTTTGTGAGAAATTCGCGATATGTGTGAGAGAGAGAGGACCTGGCTCTGTGCCCTAATAACCCCTAACACTTATTAGGCCCAGTGGGCTTAATCAAAGCATAAAACCAGCCCATTAAGTAACTTAACTTTACAACAACAATCTTCTATCCAACTTTCATCTACTACACCTGAAGGCTCTCAAAACCTTTTTTGTGGTAATTTGATTTGTTTTTTTATCATTGTTTCTTGGAGTATACGCGAAGACTGAGCCAAACCACCATTTGCTATTTTAATTGTTGAATTGGGAAATATAATTGTAAAGTGAAGTTACATAAAAATAGGAATAAACAAACAAATTATTTCCAGGAGTCTCCACGAAATTACTGAAACTTATTCTCATTTTCAGGTAGTAGGAATTTCGTGTATATATGTCTTGCGTAATTTCGTGTAAATTGTCTTTTGCAATTGTTTTTGTTTTGTTTCGTTTTGTAGTTTTTTCAAAGTTAAATATTAAATGCAACAGAGACTTTTGTCAGATGATCAAACTGCAGGAAGCTGTTTTGTTTCAGATAAAGATGGTTGAGCTGACTAACAAATAAAACAAGACTTTGGATTTTGCTTTTAAGTTAATTATTAATCTAACAATTCTTTTGTCTTTTTCTCAAAGATCAAATCTGAATGTTGTATATGGTTTAGAGAAAGTCTTCAGAAGAATCAGTAGTAATTGCTTATTTTGGTGGGTTTGGTAAGAAATTTGGTTTATCTTCCGAGGATTTGTTATCAATCCATATATAGTTGTTGAAGCATTATCCTCCCTCCACTGAGTAAGCAAAGCAAACACAATGGCTGAAGCAATTAGGCTTGAGAGACTTAAAGCAATGAGAAGTTTATTGAAGATTGAGATGGAGAAATCAGAAGCCTTCTCATTGGTTTTAAACAAGACCGGATCCAAGCTTGAAGAAATCAACCACGAGTTGTCGTCTTTGGAAGCTGATGTGAAAGTAGAGAAATGGAGATGTTCTCCTTTCTCTGATCACATCCGTCACACCATTGCCCCTGTATCCGCTGTTTTGAGAGTCTTTGCTTCGGTTCAAGAGATCGAGAACTCTCTCATGTCCTCTGATGAAGTCCTTGGTTATGTTTCAGAAGTTAAACGCCTTGGAGAAGTGATGAAGCTTCTCTCCAGCAGCTGTGTTCTTGCTCTTAATTGGCTTGAAGAGACAGTTGCGTACCTAACCGAAAGGGGAATGCCTGAAGATCATCCTTGTGGTTTGCGGTTCAAGACTTCCATCGAACTTCTTCGGGAACTGCAAATGACCGAGCCTAGTGCTTACCTCAAAGGAGGGATTCTTTACACAGCGCTGAAGAATCTCAAAACAGAGTTCAAGCGAATTCTTGAAGAGGAGCAGGTCTTGTCGGAAGACAACTTGAGAAAGTTGCAGGCTATCATCAAGAGATTACATGCTCACACACAGTTGAAAAAGTGTGTTCCTATTTACATCAAAGTCCGCACAATGGTCATTCAGAAACAGTTTGAGATCAATTATCTCAAGAAAACAATCACCGAAGCTGACAATGTACATGATATTGAAGCCGATATAGATCAATGGAGAATGCATATGGAGATAGCCGTGAAAGAAATCTACGAGTCTGAGAGTAAGTTATGCTATGAGGTATTTGAAGATGTTGGCGAAGATGTTCCCTTGCGTTGCTTTGGTAAAATAGCTTCAAATTCAGGAATCCTTCCGCTTCTCAGATTTGGATCAAGAATCAGCAAATGCAAGAAAGATCCACCAAAGCTGCTAAAGCTCTTAGATTGTTTCTCTACAATGGACAACATTCGGATAGAGTTTAACCAGCTATTTCAAGGGGAACAATGTTCAGAGATACGCAGAGTTACACGGGAGCTCATTAGCAATCTCGTTAAGGGTGTCTGCGAGATCTTCTGGGAGCTGCCAAGTCAGGTGGAGCTACAAAGACCAAACTGTCCTCTTCTTTATGGCGGTGTACCGAGGCTTGTAAGCGTTGTCACTGAGTATTGCAACAAGCTACTGGGGAACAACAACAAGCCAATACTGTCGAAGATTCTTGAGATTGATTTGGGCTGGAAAAACGCAAACTATCAAGAAGAGCTTCTCACAGGTCACATCTACAACATACTGAGAGAGATTGCTTTGAACTTGGACGCATGGTCGAGTTCCAACAAAGACACAGCTCTTTCTTGTATCTTTATGATGAACAATCACTCCCATTTCTGCGGTTTGAGAGAGACTCATCTCGGGGAAATGATGGGAGAGTCTTGGCTAAACGCACACGAACAGTACAGAGACTATTACGCCGCACTATATGTCAAAGAAAGCTGGGGAAACCTCTTGTCTCTACTCAACAACAAATCTCAAACCACTTCATCATCATCAACATCATCATCTGCTGTGAAAAGAAAACGAGCCCGTGAGTCGATCAAACAAACATTACAAGCCTTTTCTAAAGGTTTTGATGAGATCTATACAAAGCAATCAAATTGGGTTGTTGAGGATGACAAGTTGAGATGGAAGATATGTCAGGCAATGGTAAGAACAGTTGTGCCAAGATACAAGAGTTACCTACAGAGTTACATAATGCTGCTAGCCGAAGAAGATCATACGAGTGATAGTACTAAGCATTTATATTACACTCCAAAGGGTTTAGAGATGAAGCTGAATACAATGTTTCAAAAAAGAGAAGAAACAGAGAAGATAAGCCAGTATTCTAACTTTGTGAACAAAGTGATGGATTTGGGGAATACTCAGAATTCTCGCTTGAAAGTAGAAGCTATATGATGTACTTAGACAAGGCAGCGAAACTACTAAGCTTAGCTTAACTTAAAAGAGGTGTGTAATGTACATTTTGTATATGTGACATACAAAAAAGTATATAGATTGGTTCTTGTAATATGGAATTGTGAATGATAATTGATACTTAATCCAAAAGATTACAGTAGTAATTCTAACGAGTTAGATCATTTAACAAAAAGTCGTCGTGTAATGAAAGTTTCAAAATTTGCAACTTCCAAGAAAAAGTTTTGCAATTTAAAGAGCGAACCTTGTTGAGAAGCAAGAACGGACGAGAGGGTCAAGATGATCAGAGTTCTTACGGAGGAAAGGTTCGTGATTTTTCCTCAAAAATCTACGGCGGAAAAGGATTGTGATGGTCGCAGTCAACGACGGCTCCGAAGTCCGACCGACGACTAGACCGTGAAAATCATATAGAGAGATAGTGGCAGGCAGCAAAAAGCAGTGGGCCACATATGGGCCATGTTGTCTATTCATAGAGTGGGCTTTTAAAGAGTTCAATATATATCAGAATGCAAAGGAATTGATTGATGAGTATACAATAGTTTGGATCTCTTTTGAGTATGAATTTTCAAGAAGATGATTTCGATTTTAACATCTCTAGTTACTTACCCTAATAGAATGTTCAAGTTGAACATGTGGATCCGACCGACCTTAGATTGTACTTTTTTTAGGATGATTAATGCTTGGTGAGTCTTACTAAAGACATACTGATTTCAGACTTTTAGTGTAGTCCTTCACGGAGGGAATCCCGGGAAAGCATTAAAAAACATACGATTTCTAATGGCTAATTGTCATCAATTTTGACCAATCAATCTAATTACTTCTTGTCCTGCCGCAAAGGTAGTTTTGTTTTGTCTCTTAACACTCTTGCTTCTGTTTACTACTCTAAATCATCATTCTAACATGCTATTACAACAAGTTGTATAAGCAACTTATGATTAAAACATTAATAAGCTAGATTAGGTAGACTAACTCTTGCTTTAGTTCTAGAACAGTGTCTATATAACAAACATCAAAACACTTACCACACAAACTAATCCAAGCATCTAAACTAATCTTATGATATTTTGGTTTTAGAGTAATCACCTTTCTTCACTTTTATTTTTCCAAGAAATAATCCATCTTTTTTATAGGAGAGCACTTGAGACATGATTAATGTAATAATGGCGTGATAATTTGGGATCTAAAACGGTACCAAATTTTGAGATTAGAAAAGTAAACCACTTGAATATGTTGTACATATTTAAATATTACTTTGAGTATATTATTATATATGTACAAAAAAATGGGACTCATAATATGTTTAAATCAAGATACTGTTTGTTAGAGAAATATTTTTATTGGTATATACCATAAGTGGCTTTATTACAAGTTAGATTACACACTTCTTTGGTCACAATTCATCATTTATTAACATTTAATTATAAATATCTCGTAACTCAATTGTACTAACCAACAACAAATAAAACTTTCATTGTTGTGGACCTGTGGTACTCAATTTTGTCCATAATGCAAAAAATGCTTAATAGTGGCAACTGGGCAAGTCACTTGTCACTTTTAATTAATGAATTGACAAATTATACAGTCAATACAAATTTAATGACTTCATTATTATATTCCTTAAAAATGCGATAACTAATAAATTTACGGAAAACGACAAATCAATTAAGGAAAACATAATCCAACACTTGGTAAGTAAAAATAAATATGAGATTTGTTAACCATTTTGGTTCGATACGGTACAAAAACGGTTAACTGGGACTAAAATCCGGTTAATAAACATAGACCAGTTGAGTTAAATACCAAAATTGACGGCGAAAGTGTCGGTGGCTGTGTTTGGTTCTTCTTTAAGGCAGAGGAGAGACTTGAGAACACTCACTGACAAATAACACCCGGAAAAATAACTAAAAAAAAAAGTGTCTTTTTTGACAAATGCATTCAGATTTGTGAAAAAAAATCTAGTCTCTTTTTCTTTTCTATTTCGTTTTTTGTTTTTATAAACGATCTGTAATTCTCCTCAATTTCCGTGAAACCCTTCGAAAACCCATTCCCGAGAGAGAGAGAGAGGGAAGGAGGAGTGTAAGAAGAAGAAATGGGTGTGGATTTGAGGCAAGTGGTGGCTGGAATTCTCACCATTACCATGTTTGTGATGCTTGGACAAATGCTTCATAGAGATTACTTTGATGCTGTTCAGGTATTTTGTAATTCACCCACATACGATTCTGACTGAGCTCAATTCAAGTGGGGCGGCTTCTGATCGTTTTTTTGTTTGTTTCTCGTGTATCCTTCTTTGAGAAGCAGATCTAGTTTATACAATCCTCGTGATTATTTAGGGTTTCCTTGTAAAAAGACCCAATTTTTATTCGTTTTGGATCGAATTTGGATTGCTTTGATCATAAAGGCTGAGACTTTGCAGAGGACGATTGGTTCAGCTGTTGTTTCATCTAAATTGATTATCAAAGCTTCATGCTTTTTGATTCTATTGGTATCCAAATGCTTTTTCTTCTTCTCTTAAGTTCTGCTTTTTGTTCTTTGTGTGTTTGTGGGTTTTTACAGGAGAAAATTCAAGGAGATGCGCATGATATTGAATTCAAGGGATCAAAAGTAGCTGTTGAAGATGGACTTGTTAGAGCCATTGAAGGTGGGAATAAAGGACCTTGGATGGAGGATAGCAATGAACTTAAACCTTGTTGGTCAATATCTCAATCTGGTATGTTCCCTGAGTTTTCCTTCTGATTAGTAATATTTTTATCTTCTCTGTAGTTTCTGGTTTGTTGTGTGTTAATGTTTCTTCTGGTGTTGCAGATGAAGCAGTATCATCCAAGGGTTACGTTACATTCTCCTTAACGAATGGTCCTGAGTACCATGTCTCTCAGGTATCCTTTATATTTAACTGTCAAGTTTCAAATCTGTGAATTTAATCTGAATTTCCTTTAGATATGTTCATATGTTCTCATCTTTACTATCTTGTTTAGATTACTGATGCCGTGATGGTGGCGAAACATCTTGGAGCAACTCTAGTGCTTCCCGATATAAGAGGAAGCAAACCTGGTGATGAAATGTTAGTGTTTTTGTATTTTCATAAGCATTTTTGGTTTCGCCAAAGTGTTTTTTTTTTTAAGGTTTATGAACACATTTGGGATGCTTGACCAGGAACTTTGACGATATCTATGATGTGGATAAACTTATTAAAAGCTTGGAAAGCGTAGTCAAAGTTGTAAGAAAATTGCCGAGCCACGTATCTCTAAGAGATATCGCCATCGTTAAGGTTCCTACCCGAGTTGCAGAAGATTACATCAAGGAACATATTGACCCCATCTTCAAATCGAAAGGGAACATAAGAGTTACAACCTATTTCCCTTCAGTAAATCTGAGGAAATCTTCGCAGGGTGCTGAAACCGACCCTGTCTCTTGTTTGGCAATGTTTGGTTCCTTGGAATTGCAACCTGCAGTGAATGATTTGGTTGAATCGATGATTCAGCGGCTGAAGACACATAGCAAGAAATCCGGTGGTCGTTTCATAGCCATAGACTTGAGGGTTGAGATACTTGAAAAGAAAAATTGCCATGAAACAGGTGCGATGGGATCCAAAACCTGTTACAACGCACAAGAGATTGCACTGTTCTTGAGGAAGCTTGGATTTGGCACTGATACAACTATATATCTGACTCAGCCAAGATGGGAGAGCAGCCTCAATATTCTTAAGGATATTTTCCCGAAAACATATACTAAGGTGCGTAGATCCTTCATTGTTTAGTCTCTGAAGTTTTCACCCATATGCTAATCTTGATTTTTTTTCTTTCTGAAAAATGGCAGGAAGCGATAATGCCGTCAGATAAGAAATCAAAGTACCTTGAACTAGAAAATTCTGAATATGAAAATGTTATTGACTTCTACATAAGTTCAAGGAGTGATGTTTTTGTGCCAGCCATTCCCGGTCTGTTTTACGCCAATACAGTTGGCAAAAGGATAGCTTTAGGCAAGCCTCAAGTTCTTGTTCCAGCCGAGATCTCAGGATCATCTGGTCGTTCAACTGATTACATCTCTCCCTACATCTCAAAGAAGAACCATTTGGCGTATTCATGCTTTTGCTGAACTTCTCTGGTGGAACTTAGGGAAATGTTTTGCCAATGTGATCTTGAAACCAAAATCTATGAAAGAGTCTTCTCACTAATGTGTAAGCCAATCTAGTTACAGGGGTTTTCCGGCTGTTTATTATCGAAAAGTTTAGCTCGATACCAATTTGATTTAGTAAAATATTCTCATTGGGGTGGTCTTGTTTAGGACAGAAAACTCTTGAAGTTACAATATGAATCCATTGGCTCATAGTTTTTACATACTATTCATTTCATAACCATATGGTCGTTTGGAGAGAGAAGTCGTAGTCAAAGGAGGAACGAACATAGAGGATGCAGCGAAACAATTTTTGCTGTTCAAACATTACTGATTATTACCAACTGTAAAATGGACAAAATGCAGCAACCATGCGAGAACAATGCAATGTACGATCACAATGTTTGTAAAACACAATGTCGATGATGGATGGTTACAACTAAAGAAACTGAGATAAATGAGTAAAACCATGTTGAGATTGTTGACCTAATGGCCATGGTCACATCGATCACTGACTCTCTTGTGTTATTTCCCCAGTTCTCTCATGTGTACGAGACATCTCTAAGGCCAGACACTCATTGAGATCTGTAACAACCTTGCTCATGGTTTGCCTCTTACCAGTACGAGCTGAACAATCGAGTGCTATCTCCATAGCTTTCCTCACTGACTTGGGCTCAAAGTCACTGTTTAGCCTGGGATCAACTATCTCTCTGGTACTGCCTTTTGCAACCTTTAAATCGACCCACTTGGAAATGTGAGGACTTTCACGGTTGTTATCAATCACAGGCTGATTGGTTATCAACTCCAACAAAACAATTCCAAAGCTATAAATGTCGCTCTGTTTGGTTAAGTGATTTGAGTTGAAGTACCTGCATTGTCCGGTGACTCACTATATAACATCTCCGAGTCAATTAAAAGTTATGAGGAAAGAATGTATCTTTTCTTACTGGTCATGCAAGTATGGATCTCTTCCAGGCTTGACATAAATCTTGTTTGACGCCTGTATGTCAGGGTTGGTTGGGGAGGATCTAGACAGCCCGAAATCAGCCAATTTCGCTTCAAAGTTACTGTCCAGCAGGATATTTGTCGGTTTGACATATCGGTGAAGGATTCGCAACTCGCTATGCAAATACTCAAGACCTGTGAAATGAGTTTACAAATATCAGTTTCTGTCATGAATGAGAAACTCTGTTTCAATCACTGCAGCTTAAGTTACCCTGTGCTACTCCGATGATGATTTTCAACCTGCTTTTCCAGCTAAGGACATTACCAAACTTCCCTGTTACATCAAAGTACATTATCTTCGGGTATTCATACAACTTCAAGAACCAACCAAAACTAGAATGTGGTTCATACCAGATAGATGATCTTTCAAGTCTCCATTCGTCACGAATTCGTAGATTAGGGCCAAGTGCTCACCATCATCGCAGAAACCAATGAGGCTCACCAAGTTTCTGTGACGAACTTTTACAAAATCTTGAACCTGATCAACCAACAAAACGTTCAACTGTTATGAATTTCTAACTCTTTTTCAGGGAAGGAATAATCTAGTTACCTCTGCGGTAAACTGTTTGATGTTATAGATGGATGCTCGGTTTAGCATCTTTACTGCTACTTGTTGCTTTTTTAAAACTCCATGATAAACTACACCAAACCCTCCTTTGCCATGAACTCTATTGAACTTGTTGGTCATTTTTTTTACCTCGGAGTAAGTGTAACTATTGGCTGGGATGTACACATATGGTTCATATTCAATAACTGAATCGTCTTCGTCTGCATAACCTGAATACAAAAATTGGGTAAAACAAATGGCTAATAAAAACGAAAGGTACTGGATATAGCTTAAAAGTTACTAATTGTTTGATCTTTGTGCATTAGTTTGACATACAGCAACTGAACTTAGAAACGAAACGCTTCAGGCCTGTCACTTCCGTCATCGCCTAGAATTCAAAACTGGTTTATCTGTTCCTCTCAGAAAGAAAAGAGCATAAGAACTGTCAACTTTTCCGGCGGGTCAACTTGCGCATTTCCATGTATAGCCTCGGTTTCACATATGAAATAAAACAATGTCAACTTCTCTAGTGGATATCTAGTCTTCACTGTGCTCGCAATGTATAAAATCAAGTTAAGTAATGAAAATGAAATGCGAAAACACTATTTTGTGTACATATATAAATAATATCGATCTGAATAACATCTCATGTTTCTACAAGTAACAAGCTTTTTTTTTGGTGTGCATAGATTCTAGAGTTAACATCAGACTTCTAAGTCGTCTACACCAGAAACAAGATAAAGAATCCATCTGCACGTTTCGCCCAATCACCTACCTGAAATAACACTCTTCTATTTCTATAAGAGGCAGGGCAAGCTTTTACTTCAACCATACGTGTGGCTTCCAGTTCTTGAGGCCATCAAAATGTATGGATAATTCAACCTTGAATAAAGCAAGCTTTTCCAGATCATAGAGATGGGTCAGTGGGATTGTGTGCTTCAATGTCAACATGCTGGATTCCAGGGACAAGCTCTTGGATCTCTTTCTCTAACCGGTCTACTTCGCTCCCTAAAGCCGTGACAACTTCCTCACCTGTGCGAGATTACACAGTTTGTTTCAAGATAGGAACATAAAACTATGAAAAATCCAGAAGTTGAATGTATACCATAGTTTGCCATAATCTTAAGCATTGCAGAATCATCTCCTTTCTTTGCAGCCTCACGAAACTGCGCAAGTACACCATCAATTTTCAGAAGTTTTCAGGTAACTAATCAGACATCTAGCTAATGGTAGATCAGGTTGTTCATAAGCTAAAAAGGACACAACTAGCTATGAAATAAAGGCTACAAACTTAATTACCAGTTTTGCCCACTCTTCACGACCAGTTCTCTTCAGATAGTTTTGGACAACCATCTGTCCGTTGAAATCTGTTTGTATATAGCAATTAACAAAATGCTCAAAGGAATCACTCAAGAAGTCCCAAATGCGATAGAAAGCTCTAATTCTTTGAGAGCACATAAGAGTTCAAATACGCACCAATTTCAGCTTTAAATCTGAAGGACCCAGGACCAATCACTTCACTTTTGCAATCATATAAAGAATCTACAACCTACACAACAAAATATTCAATTCTGAGCCCACCTTTATAAGCGTTAACATATATGAGATCTCTAAGTTATAATAAGCAGAATTTATACCGAGTCATTCTTTAAAAACTTAAGAACTTTACTCATGTCTTGATCATCCATTGCTCTTCCAATCAAGGCATGTCGATTTCGTTGAATGAGAAATATAGCGACCTAGTAGCATTCAAACTTGTGGTTGTAGATATGTAATATAGAATAATAAATAACAAATTAAGGAGAGCACGTTACGGAGAGCACAAACATACCATTCCAAGTAAATTACCAACTACAATTGATCCTATAGGATCATAAATAGGATTTCCAGTCATCCTAACAGCAACAAGAGATGCGGCTGCAATTGCCAAACCTGCCACAGCAGCGCCATCCTGTGCATTTACAATAGTCACTAACAGAAAAATAAGAGCATAATAGAGTTTAGCAGTGTTGTTCAATGACTCATTCTTTTGTTTTTGTGCAATGACTCAATCTAACAATATTCTTTGATGCTGTTTCTATATATGTTCAAATCAGATACAAACTGTAAAGTGTTACCTCAGTCATAACAGCAACAGAAGTAGGATCATGGCCACGCCATATATAATCTCTTATGGTCATGCCTTCTTGTGCAGCTCCTTTTTTAACAGATTGAATTGCAACGAGAAGCGAAGCGCCTTTGAGAAATAAAGATTAACAAACAATATTCAGCATGTAGGCTTGAAGCATAGCTAGACCAACTTCAAGAAAGGATCACATAAGAGGCACAAAAGATTAGGAAAAGTTGATACCTTCAATTAGAAAAGAACCACCAATTACCAAAGCAGCATATTCCATATTCGGAGGTGGCTGAGAAAGATTGTCAAAATTGATGAACAACCAAGAAAATGTACACGGAGTATCTAACAACCCAAAAGATCATACAGCAGATGACATCAACATCATAAAATATTCTGAGCCAATTACCGAAGAAGTCCACAAGTTCTGCACTCCATTGACTATGGTAGCACCAGACCCAAGGCAAAAGATGCCAACAGCCGATATCAAGGACCATACAAATCTTTCTTTTGAGTAGCCATAGCTGAGCAAAGTGACAATTTTGGTCTAAGAATTTCTTCAAACACAAGCAAACTGTTCTGCCATAGAGTATAAAAGATAACTAGAGACTCACGGGTGAAGAGCATCTGGCGCACGCCTTGAGCTACTGAGCCCATAAGCAAGAAGTGCCTACAACATCAAGTATGTATCATTTTTTCTGCACCCAATAGTCAATATATTAAACTGGTCACAAAAGCAAAAAAAGAAAGCATAACAGCAACAAACCTGGTTAGCAAAATCAGCAACGGAGTGAACTACTTCAGCCATTATGACATGGCTAGAACTTGTCCACCAAACCCCAAACTTGAGGGAAAATACGAGGAAGTTGCACCATAGTGCAGTAGTAACAGCTCTTTGACTGCAAAATGGTTCACGAAACCATAATTCAGGAGTTAGGATAAACACGCAATAAAGATATAGCTAGAGGACTTCACTAGAGGACAGGGGTACATGGAAGAATTTCTCTTCTCATGATTTCCCTTGTCTAACTTAATGAACTTCACCAAGTAACAGAACTAGTAAAGCACGACAAAGGTTATGAAACTGAACCCAAATCAGAAGCCAGCTAGCACAATATTATACCCAAAAAAAAAATGATACCAGAATGAATCTTCATGAGTATACAATAACAGATAAAATTGCCACTTTTGGAACCCAAACAACCAGTAAACAAAATGGATTTAGCAAACAGGAGTACAATATAACTTTCTAAACCACAAATACACAACTTGATCACTCGAAGTAAACTACTCACATTACAATAAAACAGTAATGAGTCTTTTACCTGTGTTGATCATTGATCTCAATTCTCTTCACTTGTTTTGCCCGAGTGAAGAAACCTGTAAACGTGCAACCCCATCAAAATCTCTCCAAACTAAGTATCCCAAAACATACAAAATTGAAACTTTAGGTCAAGGAAGAGAAGACATACCACGGTGGGAGGAGTAAGAATCAATCAAAGGAGTATCCCTATCGAGAGAAACAGAACATCGCACACCAAGACCTTTGTTTGAACAATTGGTGGAGAGAAACCCTCTTAACTGAGGATTGGAACGGATAAGAGAGCTAAAACTCCGATGAGTATCTACACAAAACCCATCGTGTTTCTCGTCGGATAACGAGAAAACGTGAAGTGAGCCGCCGACACCACTGGCTCTGCTGTAATAACCTTTTCCTGGTGAATGAAGGAGGCGAGACAAAATCCGATGTGATGATTGCATTTCAGAGTCTTAAGAGCATGCAAAGATTGGATTTTTATGTTTGTTTCAGGGAGAAGTGAAGAAAAGATTCCCAAAAAGGAGAGAACTTTTCTTTTGCTTTGTCCCGGAGGATTAGGATTTGGTGTAATTGTAAAATTTGGGAAGAAAGAGAAATGTGAAGAAGAAGAATTTGGGAATGTGAAAGGAGGAAGATGATTATTTTGAGTTCAGAGTGATAGGGCTCGGCGGAGGTCTGTTCTCTGCGTGTTGCCCATGAACTTGAAGACAAGCAAAGCAAAAGATCTTTCCTTTTTCTTTTTTTGGAAATTTGGGAAAATCATTTTTTTTTTTTTTTTTTTCATTTTTCACGAGAATATTATATGGAAAAAATAAAATAAAAGCATGAAAATATCTTACATTTTCCTCCTAGCAATTATTTGAAGATATATAATGTTTTTTGTCCACACAGATTATAAGAATATTCTACTTTATACCATTTTTTTTCAAAAGCTTAGCTCAGAAATTAACAAATAACAGTGTAAATATAGTTTCGAAAATCAAAATGTTAGTTATGAGTTATGACATATAAAACTGGTAAGACGAAAAAGTCAAAAATATATTATAAAAATCAAACTATGAAGAGATTTTCATGATAAGATGTGACATAATTCTAAGCTTTTTCTATAGAAAAAAAAATTACAAAAAGTACGTTTTTTGCTTTTTTGTTTTTTGTTTTTTTTCCAAGATTTTAATTAAAAAAAGGGAATCAAAAATATCATTCACAATTGGGATATTTTAAAAAATACTGTAGGCAAAATTCTATATAAAAATCTTTATGGCATCGAAAACATTTTTGTTTCAGTCACAGGTCGCACTGAAAGATTTTAGTTTTCTCCCTTTTTTTTGGCAATTTCCTTTGGCTATAAAAATATCACAATTCCTTTTTTGTATTTCAGTTAACTAAAGTTTGACTTAGAGAAGCCTGAAGCTATGAAAGAGGAGAGAACATGATTTCACTTCACATGGGAGCTAAGTCTCTAAGCCATAGGGATACACTCTTTTGGTGAGATCTTAAGTAATGTTAGCTGTCTCATAAAAGAAAAAAAAAAGAGTCTTTAAAATTACATCAGAGTTCAGACAGTGTATGGACCAATACAACAGCGGCCTATGCAGCATTTCAATAACATAAGATAATCGATCATGGCAATGCAATATAAGCCAGTTTACATAGTGACGGATCAAATCCGGATAACCTAAATCGACTCAGATTCTTTCAAAGGGAATAATAAAGCTACGGCTCCTGAGGTGATTCAAACTCTGTTTGAGATCTTCTTTTGCTTGTAATGGCAAGAGCCAATGTATTCTCACTGTGAGTTGCTTATGTTATTGGCCACTGATATCATCATCTGATCAGCCTCAAGATTTGCATCCTGCAAAAATAGATCAGACGTCCACAAGTCTTATAGTAATGTTTGCTCAAAAAATAGTTTGGTCAAAAACTTATGTAGCTTACCTCATTCTTACTTAAAGGAACATTTTGGGGTGTTTGAGGAGGAGCGCCTTTGGATAAGTCCCTAAGTGCACCCTAAAATTATAAATCTGTCATTTAGACAAACTTATCATAGAACCAAAAGTGGTGCAGAATGAGCAAAATAGAGAGAGAGAGAGAGTTGATCAATTGAGAAGCGAGAATTAGCCTGCCTTGTTTGCCCACATAAGTCCACATGCATTGCAAAGTGTCCTAGGCCCTTCAGGTCCACGCCGCATCATTGGAGTTGACTTCTCGCTGATTCCACAGTGCCGGCATCTGACAGGTTCCAGAACCATTCAAAGGAAATACGATCAGATATGTTGTTTATGTTCTTAAACAAATTCTGGTTATGCCAAGAAAGATTTAATATTCATCATTTACAAAGACTTAAACACTGCTGGTTACTCCAAAGTCACAATCCTCTTTCCAAATAATTTTTCTCATTTCCAGGATACAAAGATTAGTTCACAACCTGTCTTAACAAATCATCTATCACATCATTCTCTACGTTAAGTTGTTTATGATTAATAACTAAGTCAGATACTTGAAGTTTATACTCAAAAGCATTTATCAACTTACGAGATCTCTTGATTCTGTGCCTCGCTACCTTCTATAGCCCAGGTTTGATTCGACCCCCAGCTGGATCCAGCAGATGCAGCTTCATCATTGACCGACTTGGCAGATGTGAACTGTCCTTTATTGCGTTGCATCCTGTAAACCGGAACAAACAAAAACAACCAACGACCAGACCCTAATTACGAGGGTGCAATCTCAAAAGATGTATCACTAGGCTATGTTGTTGATTTAGAAATAAATGTACCTCAAAGCAACCTCCTTGCGGACTGTATACCGAATCTTCTTATCAAAATTCCTACCTTTTCGTTTCTCTCGAAATCTAACCAAAGAAGCTAACCGCTGTGGAATACTAAACCTTTGAGGAGTACCAGGTAAACCCTGTATCATTTATTTGTCAGAAATGCACAAAGGAAGTGAACTTATATCCCAAAGATAGTATCAAATCTTTTATTACCAATGCCCTATTGTTATGATGAGATGATCCAAGGCCAGTAGGGGTTGCCTGAGGTAATTCTCGTCCACCCAATAATAGAAGCACAGCTTGAACCTGCAGTAAATATTGAAAAGAAAACGAGAGGCACTCATACATTAGACTCACTAAGAGGAGAACACAAATCAACTAGAGTCAGTTATAGTCAAACTAAATTTATAATGTAACGAGAAAATAAAAATTGAATCACCTTTTCAGGCAACACACTGTCAAAAACGTAGACTTGGCCCTGAAAAGACAATGTCAATTGATCTCCTTGTTCACTACCACGGTCAACTACTTCACCACGATTGTCTGTTATATTTCCAGGGTGAGAAGGAATGTCTGTTTCCACTCCCTCACTCATCCCACCAGCATTTCCACCATCAGCATGGTCATCAACCATACCGCTTCCATTGTGGATGTGGTGCAACGCATGATGTTCATACTGCACATGCATTGAATCTTGAGCTTCTCCAATGTGCATTCGAGCATTGCTTCCATGAAGGTCATCCATGGTTGCTTTTCATCAATTAACCTGCTTTAAAATGTGAAATAAAACAAATTTACATTAAGCTGGAAATTTAAAATATAAACACCTAAGTTTAAAAACAGAAAGGGTTAGAGCAAATAAGCACAATTCAAGGATGATCAGCCAAATCAAACCAACTCTAAGCAATACATAATTTACATAGTATCAACTTTCTTCATTGGTTATCGGAGCAACTTACACAAATCAGGTCTAAGCAAGACTACATGAGAAGATCAAATTATGGACATAATCTCAAGTAACAATAACCAGAAAACCTAATTTTGAAAAATTAACAGAGACAACAAGTGCGAATCAACAAGCAACAGAACCTAATTGCATCAAGCAGATCCAACAAAAAAATTCTAGCTTTCCACTCTTTAAGCCTTACACATAACACATCATACCAATTCTACAATCTAACTCTTAATTTCAGCAAACAAAACAAAATAAAAACAACCTAAGAGACAAAGCAAATCCTGCAACAAAGCTATCCAAAACTATTGAAATAGCTTTCTCATTACGATAAGAGACACCAAATAAGACTTCAGATAAGGTACCTAAATCGTGGGAGCAACACCAGCAGAGAATAATGAAGAATGTCGAAGACTCCACGAGAAACCAAATATCACGACGGAAACGGTGAAGACGATGATCAATTAAAAGCTCGGAAGAGATGAACAACCGGCGAAGGAGAAGAGAGTCCAAAGACCAGACCACCGGCGAGACGATGGAGATGAAAACGGAAACGGAGAGAGAAAGAGAGAGACGGGGGCGGTGAAATGAAGCAGTGGGGGGCTAAAGAGACTCGATTTATTATTTTATTATCAAAAGAATAAATAAAGAAAAGTGATGGAGAAATAAAATAATTAGTTATTATGTATGTGCTAAAGTTTCATTCTTTCTTCGTCTTCCTTCTACTAACAAACTTAAATCGGATCTATAACTTTGGCTCTCTGATATCTCTGTTATTTTACTCTTTCGGATCAGAGGATTCGAAATTTGAAAGCTTTTAGCTTTCTTCTCTTCCTCTGTTTCATGGACTCTGATTTCTCAACTGGTCACTGTTTTTGTTGAGTGGGGTGAGATGGCGAGAAGTAGATCGATTAGTGGTTATGGGCTATGGAAATATTTGAATCCTGCGTATTATCTCAGAAGACCGAGACGTTTGGCTTTGCTTTTCATCATCTTTGTCTCTGTTTCTATGGTGGTCTGGGATCGTATAAATCTTACCCGAGAACATGAGGTATGTTTTGTCTCATGGAATCTGCCTAGGAGACAGTTCTTGTATCATAGTTATTGGCAGGCATTTTCGAGTTTTGGTAAAGTAGGTTATGCTTAGGCCTGGAATGGTTTTATTGCCAATTTAGCTTTAGGTCTTTAAGTAAGAACGGTGGTATCTTAATTTGCTAGAAAAGGGTTCACTTAGTATTTTGTGGGCTTAATTCTGCAATTCCTTCTTGAAATACTGTGCCAAAAGTAATAAAAGTGAGGACATTTTTGTTTCAAGGAAGTGGATGATTCTCTTGTGATCATTTTCTCACTTGTCTTGTACTGTCTCTGTCTAACAGTTTAATTATGTTTTGCAGGTTGAAGTTTACAAGTTAAATGAAGAAGTTTTAAGGTTGGAGCAGATGGTAAGATATATATTTTCCTCTTAACTCTTGAGTCTTGACTTCGATGATTTCTTTGGTTAAGTTAGGACCCTGTTTCCGCCTTTTCTTCCATCTTCGTGTGCATGGTTGTTTTATTTGATACATATGCATTATTAAAGTAGGCTTCATTTTTGGAAATAGGGTTTGTAATGTTTTCCTACTGTTTGGCTAACTAGCTATATTTTCTGCTAGTTAGAAGAGCTTAAAGGTGTCGGCAATAAACCTTTGAAGACTATGAAGAATGCCCCAGAAGATCCAGTTGATATCCAGCGAAGGCAGAAAGTAAAAGAGGCAATGATCCATGCTTGGAGCTCATATGAGAAGTATGCATGGGGAAAAGATGAGCTTCAGGTAAAAAATAATTTTCAAAAATAAAATTCTCCATTGCCAATACGGTAATACCCAATACATTATCTAGTGACTATGGGATCTACGAATAAAAAATGATCTTAATATTATCATCCTGCTCCTTCAATATCGTGTTATGCCTTTTGTTATGAGCTTATCTGAAGTTACCACACTGTACTTAAGCCTGCAAATATTTTGTGTGGTACTAAGATTATTTTCTACTTGCACACTGCAAAAACATCTGTTGGTCTGAAGCTATATTGGCTTCTTTCCTTTTTATTGTCAGCCTCGGACAAAAGATGGCACTGATAGCTTTGGTGGCCTTGGAGCAACTATGATAGATTCTTTAGATACACTCTATATAATGGGTCTAGATGAGCAGTTTCAAAAAGCCAGAGAGTGAGTAATTACAGGCTCTTTTCTAAGTCGTGTAACTGTTCACGTCCATTAACAAATTCCACTTTCTTACGGGCCAATCTTTGCCCATCTTCATTTGGTTTTTCTTCTAATTTCAGTTGGGTTGCAAGCTCGTTGGATTTCGACAAGGATTATGACGCCAGTATGTTTGAGACAACCATAAGGTTACTTTCACAGGTTTACTGTGGCTGTTTTCTGTATCTATCGTAGGATGTGTCTGTTCATTTCCGGTTATTAGTTGGTACTTGGTTCTTAATTGACAAAAGATGTGGAACAGATATATTTCATCTGCTTATGTTCTTTCCTTTATTTGCTGTCAGAGTTGTAGGGGGACTTCTCAGTGCATATGATCTTTCTGGGGACAAAATGTTCCTTGAAAAGGCTAAGGATATTGCAGATAGATTGTTGCCTGCATGGAACACTCCAACGGGTATACCATACAATATTATCAACTTGAGAAGCGGAAATGCTCACAATCCTTCGTGGGCGGCAGGGGTGAGTCCTTGATTACTGAGTGCCCTTTCTGTTGTATTCTGTCTTTTGAGAACAAGACATTGGATGTAGATCTTCGTAAGGCCTAAAATTGGATGCACATCATATTTCTTTCTAGAGATAACGGCATTTGCTTAAGCTTGTATGCTCATGTTCTCGTGTTAACTTAGGTTCCTGATTATGATTCTAAAGGACTCCTTGGAGGCTACTGATACCTTAAAACAAGTTCTGACCACTTTCTTAGATGCTTGAGACCCGTTTAAAAACTGAAATCTGGAATCACCAGAAACAGAATCTTCTTCTTTCTCGCTATGCAACAATTAACGTTCGTGTTTGAGGCTTAGATCTTAAAAATTTGTTGCTTTTAGAGTTGATGGTAACTATAGTTTCTTAAATAACTATAGTCAGTTTCACTAGCAAGCACATCCTACGTGTCTGGAATGGATACCAAGTGCTATGGGGTTTAGATATGCTTCATTAAGACATGTGGTCTGTCACTTTTAGCTGATTGTTCCTTTTTTTCTGTACTAGGGAGACAGTATTCTTGCAGATTCCGGCACTGAGCAGCTTGAGTTTATCGCCCTTTCCCAGAGGACAGGGGACCCAAAATATCAGCAGAAGGTACATGTGTGATTTTTATAGCTCATTGGAGATCATAATTTTGAGTTTGTCCAGCGCATGGCTGTGTAAAGAGGGCAATCTATCTGCATTAGTATTAATGCTGAAGTAATCATTTGCTGCTCAAGATTGACTTGTTTGTTAACTTGTGCCTCTCAGGTAGAGAAGGTTATTACAGAGCTGAATAAAAACTTCCCTGCTGATGGTTTACTTCCCATCTATATTAATCCGGATAATGCTAATCCATCGTACTCTACCACAACATTTGGTGCCATGGGAGATAGGTACTTTCTTTCACCAAATCTCATTGCGTGTTAGTTGGGTCTTCTGACCCTGACTTTACTATGTTACAATTAATAATAATTTGGGGTTACAGCTTTTATGAGTATTTGCTCAAAGTTTGGGTGCAAGGGAACAAAACATCTGCGGTGAAGCCCTATAGGTAAGTAAAGCTCAACGCTGATATATATATATATATATATATCCAAGTATTTCCAATTGTAACGACTACGTCTTTCTTAATGCAATGAATTCAGAGATATGTGGGAGAAATCAATGAAAGGTCTGTTAAGCTTGATCAAGAAATCAACACCGTCATCATTTACATATATATGTGAGAAGAACGGAAATAATTTGATCGATAAGGTAAATACAATCTATCTAATATCATTTCTTTATGTCGAGAACTTTGCGGGTATCATTGTTTTGTTCTCAATTATTTTCAGATGGATGAATTAGCATGCTTTGCGCCTGGAATGTTGGCTTTAGGAGCTTCAGGTTATGGTCCTGATGAAGAAAAAAAGTTTCTTTCACTCGCAGGAGAGGTACTATGATCTCAAAAGTATTTAGAGCTTTAGTAAAGCTTCTGCTGTCTACTTATTGCTGTTTCCTCCCATTTTACTGCAGCTTGCCTGGACTTGCTATAACTTTTACCAATCAACACCAACGAAACTCGCTGGAGAGAACTATTTCTTTACTGCAGGGCAGGTTGGTAACAATAACGGGTTTATTTTGCGCATCTGTTTGTTAGTTAGTTGGTTGGTTTAGTCACATCCACAAGCACGTGATTGTTACAGGACATGAGTGTTGGAACATCTTGGAACATTTTAAGACCAGAAACCGTTGAGTCGCTATTTTACCTCTGGCGATTAACTGGGAACAAGACATATCAAGAGTGGGGATGGAATATATTCGAAGCATTTGAGAAGAACTCTCGCGTAGAATCTGGATACGTAGGCTTGAAGGATGTAAGTTTTTTCTTCTCAAACCCATCACCAGAAGTCCATTTTGGCCAGGCTGACCTTATTCGATTAGATACCCTCCTCGGAAGGGCATCTCCATCTTTTTGAAACTTGCATTGTTGTTAATGTTTGCTTCTCCATTTTCAGGTCAATTCAGGTGCTAAAGACAACAAGATGCAAAGCTTTTTCTTAGCTGAGACTCTTAAGTATCTCTATCTTCTCTTTTCGCCTTCATCAGTTATTTCATTAGACGAGTGGGTTTTCAATACAGAAGCTCATCCACTTAAGATTGTGGAACGGAGTGATCCACGTAAACCAACTATAGCACTACGCCAGAGGCGGTTTGGTCATCAGGTTAAGGGTTAGTAGACAGTTTCTGCTTAAATGGATCTTGACAATATATTCAACAGGTTAAGGCACAATGTTGTATCAGTTTCGATAACAGATAAAGAACAGATGGACAGTTTTTGCCACAACAAAGTACTTTACAGTTTCCTATATTGTTAGATTTCTAGAAGAAACTTCTCACAAGTCACTTGACTATCATTTTAAGATTTTGAACACATTGCAAATGAGAACAATCAAGATTGACCACAGAGAATAAAAGCATGAAGAAGGCTCTGAGCAAAGTGAGCTTGATCTGATGAACCAGAGACAACAATCAGTCCTTCTGTTGCCCCTGCTTTTGGATCATGCACAACCACATTCGCTCCTGATACCTGTTTATATTCGTTTACAAACTGTAATCAGATGCAACCTTTCAAACGGATCGTCTGCTCATATATTATTGGCAACTTACCTGCTTAATGTAATTCAGGTTACTGCAGTTCTCACCATAAACATGACCTAAGTATGCTTGCGGAATCACAATCTCCACATTTGCGCTTGTCATTGCTGGATTTTCACTGCCAACACCATAACCAAAAGGCAATCATGTGATATTAGTGGATAAACTTGCTTAGATGCAGTTTCTGTCATTCAAAGTTATTTAGTTTAAAGTGAACAAAGAAGGCAACGTGAAAGTGATACCTGCCAATGGGCTCATTTCTCAAAGCAAACCCGTGGTTCGCATCTGGAGGAACCATACCACCGGGATGGCCATCGATAACCGGCTGGCAATTGAGGAATATTAAATCAGAAAAGGGACATGACAGAAAGAAGGAACAAAAATCATTGTATTCACCTACCTGCGGGGTCCAAGACATTGGGGACGGTGGCCTGTCAAATCCAGGACCATGACAATGTCTTTCTGTATCATATGTAATAAGTAGATATCATTAAGAACTGAAATAGATGCATGTATCAACTGAAAAACATGGGTTAGGAATAGATCAAATACCATGGAATGATCCTACTGGAGAATGGTAACGATCTGGAGATGCTGGATACTGTCTCGGTCCAAATGGAGGAGGCGGTTCTGGATACGGACCCATGAACGGCGGAGGTGGACCACCCATGCCTTGAAAAGGAAGTCTACCAGGAAACATTGCTTCCCGAAGCCTACTTGTTATTTGGAACAAAGCATCTTGAACAGTCTTTAAATTGCCAATGACCTACCAAACCAGAAAATTATTGTCAAATTACAAGAAAATTGCTGAGCTGAAAAATTTATCAAGAGCCTAGATGTTTCATCTAATTTACCTGTACAATCTCATCATGCTGAGATTCATACTTTGTAGCTTGATCTTTTGCAAAGACGCGGATGCTGGCACCAGTTGCTCTCCTCATTTCACTTATTACATGACCCCCTTTACCCAATAGACGTCCGATATATGGAGAATGTACTAGAAGCCGGGCAACAACCGCAGCACTAGGCTCAAATCCAATCTCAACGATTCTATTATGCACACGCATCACACCATCCTGAGCAAGAGAGTGCCTTCTCTCCAAGTTCTACAACAATGTCAACATATGAGACAGAAGTCTATGAAATACGTAAACCATTCTTTTCGATTGAATAAACATACCTCTCTTGCCGATATCACAATAATTCGCTCCTCTGAATCATGAGTCGGATCCGATACCTTGATGGATGCACCAGTTTCGTTTTGCAAACCTCGAACCACAGCTCCACCTTTCCCTATCAAGCTTCCAACTTTATCAGCTGGGCATAACAGCCTAAAAGCAACCTCCTCTTCAACAACCGGTCTATTAAAAGGTCCAACGTCTTCAGGCATTGGATTAGGAGGATGATCCCATTGAGGATGATAGTCCATAGAATGATACTCAGGTGGATAACCAAGCTGGGGAAACGGACTCTCGTCCCAAGTTGGAGGTGCACCACTCTCTTGAAGACAGTTTGTAATCAACAAAAGCCCCTTCTTCACATTCGAGAACTTTCCAGTTATCTTCATACATAAACATTTACTAAAAATCAGCCAACAACAATAAAATTGAATAGCAACAACACTAAAATTGAATTGCTAGTAACCTGAATCACAACATCTCCAGGGAAAGCACAAGGAGGAATCTGATCAGTAGATGAAATCCTAACAGTAGCTCCACTATCTTCTTCAACCTTCTGAATCATCTTCCCACCTGTACTCATCAAGAAATCAACTTGATTGCCTCTAACGATCATCCTACACAATCCGTCACTCTCACCTTTATCCAATTCAACACCGTCAGCAGAAGCAGCATCGTCACCAAACACTATTCTCTCTAAAACCCTAAGCAAAGCCATCTGCGCCGACGACGGCGCTTCCTCGTCATCTCCACCACTCGTCCCCGCGCACTCGCTACCTTTCTCTTGCTTAGTCTCCTCGGAGCTCGGTTTCTCCGGATCACACACATTCGAATCGTCCTTCTTCTTTACACTCGGGGCGATGATCAACACTACACGCTCTTCTGAAGGAACGGGAATGTCATCGATGACGCGGATTTTGGAACCGGTTACAGACTGGAGGTGGCGAATTACAGAGCCGCCTTTTCCGATTATTGCACCAGTCCTTGAGGCCGGACATAAAAGGCGGAACTGTACAGACTCTGTTGCTGCCGCCGGTACCGTCGCCGGACGCTTAGAGGAAGAGAACTCCATTAGCCGAATAAACTCTAACGGCGTCGTTTCTAGCTTACCATTTAACTCATAATTCATAAACATAGGCCAATTAAAAAGCTATTGGTGTATAATTTTTTTCTAATTACTTATTATGAAGTTTTGACAAAAAATTGTAATCTGATAATCTCTTAAAATAATTATTTGAGTGTTGAAATATAGAAAAACTTTTTTGAATTTTTTTTAAAAATTATAAAGTTTTATTTCAAAATTTCATAAGGAAAAACTCCTTTATTTTATTGTACTTATAACCCATTTATTTGCCAACTCATAAAATCATTTTGAATTTAAAAGCAAAAAACAAAAACAAAAAAATGAAAAGAGAAAAGGAAAAAAGCAAAATGAAGAAGAAGACAAGAAAACCTTTCACCTCTGTCTCTCTGTCACTCTACTTCAATGTGTTTACTTTTCTCTCACTACAACAGTCCTTCACTTTCTCTCTCTCTTTCTAAAACGCTCACAATGCTTATCTTCTGATTTTTCGAGGAGGAAGAAGAGAAAGGCTTCTTTTTTTACCTTTTTTTTTGGGGGTTTAGTGTGTTAAGCAGAGTCTGAGATTTTCCTTTTGGTGTAAATTGTGTTCTGGGGTTGTTGTTTTGAAGATCTAACTTAGATCTAGTGTTTTTTGAAAAAGAAAAATCAAATCTTTGCTAGTTTCGAAGATGCAGAGACCACCTCATGAAGATTTCTCCTTGAAGGAGACTAAACCTCATCTCGGTGGAGGCAAAGTCACCGGAGATAAGCTCACGACCACATATGACCTCGTTGAGCAAATGCAGTATCTCTATGCTCGTGTCGTAAAGGCCAAAGATTTACCTGGTAAGGACTTAACTGGTAGTTGTGACCCTTATGTTGAAGTTAAGCTTGGGAACTACCGAGGAACCACTAGACATTTTGAGAAGAAATCTAACCCTGAGTGGAACCAAGTTTTCGCCTTTTCCAAAGATAGGGTTCAGGCTTCTTATCTTGAAGCTACTGTCAAGGATAAAGATTTAGTTAAAGATGATTTGATTGGTCGTGTTGTGTTTGATTTGAATGAGATACCTAAGAGGGTGCCTCCTGATAGTCCTTTGGCTCCACAGTGGTATAGGTTAGAAGATGGGAAAGGTCAAAAAGTTAAAGGAGAGCTTATGTTAGCTGTTTGGTTTGGTACTCAAGCTGATGAAGCTTTCCCTGAAGCTTGGCACTCTGATGCTGCAACCGTTAGTGGAACTGATGCTTTAGCTAACATCAGATCTAAGGTTTATCTGTCTCCTAAGCTTTGGTATCTTAGGGTTAATGTGATTGAAGCTCAGGATCTGATACCGAGCGACAAAGGGAGATATCCTGAAGTGTTTGTGAAAGTGATCATGGGAAATCAGGCACTGAGGACTAGAGTGTCGCAAAGCAGGAGCATTAATCCAATGTGGAATGAAGATTTAATGTTTGTTGTAGCTGAGCCGTTTGAGGAGCCTTTGATTCTAAGTATTGAAGATAGAGTTGCGCCGAATAAAGATGAAGTCTTGGGGAGATGCGCGATTCCGCTGCAGTATTTGGACAGAAGGTTTGACCATAGACCTGTAAACAGCAGGTGGTTTAACCTCGAGAAGCATGTTATATTGGAAGGAGGAGAGAAGAAAGAGATCAAATTCGCCAGCAAAATTCACATGAGGATTTGTTTGGAAGGAGGGTATCATGTACTTGATGAATCTACTCATTACAGTAGTGATCTTAGACCAACTGCAAAGCAATTATGGAAGCCAAACATCGGTGTGCTTGAGCTTGGAGTCTTGAATGCGACGGGTTTGATGCCTATGAAAGCTAAAGAAGGTGGTAGGGGAACCACGGATGCGTACTGTGTGGCTAAGTATGGACAGAAGTGGATCAGAACTCGGACAATCATTGACAGCTTTACCCCAAGATGGAATGAGCAATACACTTGGGAAGTTTTCGATCCGTGTACTGTTGTTACTGTTGGTGTGTTCGATAACTGTCATCTACATGGTGGTGACAAAAACGGAGGAAAAGATTCAAGAATTGGGAAGGTGAGGATAAGACTCTCTACTCTCGAGGCTGATCGAGTCTATACGCATTCATATCCTCTGTTGGTGCTACATCCTAATGGAGTCAAGAAAATGGGAGAGATTCACTTAGCTGTGAGGTTTACTTGTTCTTCATTGCTCAACATGATGTATATGTATTCTCTGCCTCTCTTACCGAAGATGCACTACCTCCATCCTCTCACAGTTAGCCAGCTCGATAACTTAAGGCATCAAGCTACTCAGATTGTGTCGACAAGGCTAACAAGAGCAGAGCCTCCTTTGAGGAAAGAAGTTGTTGAGTACATGCTTGATGTGGGATCTCACATGTGGAGTATGCGTAGAAGCAAGGCAAATTTCTTCAGGATAATGGGAGTTTTAAGTGGGATCATCGCAGTAGGGAAATGGTTTGAACAGATCTGCGTGTGGAAAAATCCGATAACAACGGTTCTAATCCACATTTTGTTCATCATCCTTGTCATCTATCCCGAGCTCATCTTGCCAACCATCTTCCTCTACCTCTTCTTGATTGGAGTTTGGTACTATCGTTGGAGGCCGAGACATCCTCCTCACATGGACACACGTCTCTCACACGCTGACTCAGCACACCCTGATGAGCTCGATGAGGAGTTTGACACTTTCCCTACTTCCCGGCCATCAGACATCGTCAGGATGAGATATGACAGACTCAGGAGCATTGCTGGTAGGATTCAGACAGTTGTTGGTGATCTTGCAACTCAAGGAGAGAGACTCCAGTCATTGCTAAGCTGGCGTGACCCGCGTGCCACTGCTCTCTTCGTCCTGTTCTGTCTGATAGCCGCAGTAGTTCTGTATGTGACTCCGTTTCAGTTTGTGGCTTTTTTCATTGGCTTGTATGTGCTTAGACATCCAAGGCTCAGGTACAGGCTCCCATCAGTTCCACTGAATTTCTTCAGGAGGCTACCGGCAAGGACTGATTGCATGCTCTGAGTTACTTACTACTTACTACTCTCTTAAGATTTCTCCTTTTCAAAAAACAATCATTTGGTTTGGTTTTTGTTCCCCATTTTATGATAATTTTTACTGGGACATGTTATTTGTGTTATTTAAGATAAGTTTATGTTTGGTTTTTTCTTCGAAACTAAGGTTTCTAGCTTTACATCGATCAACTCCGCTAAACACAAGTAATGTCATACCCATGAGTCCATGAGCATTAGGTAGATGTCGATCAAACTAAAAAAATTCCAACGAACCGAATTCAACATTGAACCACATTCTCTAAACCTAAAATATTTAACCGAATAGAACCAAAACCGAATGTTCAAAACCAATTGCTAAAAATCATCATTGAGCTTTGAGACAGTTTAAAAAAAGGAGATTCTTAAAAAGTTTGGTTTTATCAAGGGATCTTGTTCTCTCTCTCTAGTCTCTAACGATGGTTGCTACTATCTTTAATTCATCAGCATACGTTTCCAATTTACCAAGTACGAAGACTCTCTTCAACCCGAATTCACCAGCTCTGTCTTTGTCTTCTTGTTGGCTCTGCAAATTGCCAGCCAAGCGAATCATTAAACTTAGGCTCAGGGAAGGATCGAATCAAGGGCTTATTCGTGTACATGCTCTGTTTCAAAACGAGGAGGCTCCAAGTGAAGGCGAAGATCAAAATGGGTTTGGTTTGTTACCTGCGGATATTTTCTCTTTGTCTCAGGTACACAAAGTTATTAAGTTGCTCTTAAGACCTGTGCATTTGAATAATTGGATTGTTAACTTTTCGAATTGTATGTTGATTTCAGTTAAAGATACAATTTTTATGGTGTGGTAGTGATGAAATTGAACTTGTGCATAAGATTGATATGGTTTTTCTTTGTGTTTGTGAAGGAGAATGGAAGTAATATAAGTGGTGAAAAGGATAGTGATAACATAATCGATGTGGAGACATCTCTCGTAGTTCCTCATAGTGGAGGAACTCGAGCTGGGCTCTTTAGAACCCCCATTTCCGGTGGTGTTCAAAGCGCAACCTCTGCTCATGGTTTACCTCGACCGGCTTTAGCTGTTAGGAACTTGATGGAACAGGTTAAAAAGATCATTCCATTTGTTACCTTTTACATTCTTGATGAGTAAAGATATTAAATTTCATGTATCTGTTTGGTTTTTGGCGCTACTGTTTATGGTTTCAAGGCCAGATTTGCTCATCTATGCACAGTGATGTCTAAAATGCACCATCGTAGAGAAGGGTACCCATTTGGATCTTTGGTAGATTTTGCACCTGATTCGATGGGGCGTAAGTCTTCTCCTTGATTGTGTCTCTTTGTATGCGTCGTTTACATTCTTGATAGTGGATTCTATTCTTTGTGTGTTTCAGACCCAATATTTTCATTTTCACCGTTGGCTATTCACACTCGGAATATCTTAGCTGAACCTAGATGCACCCTTGTTGTTCAGGTAACCATTGTCAATCATGCTACAACTATACAAACATATTGGTGTTTATTCCCTTGCTTTGGTTCTCTGAGTGTGGATTTGGTACTTACAGATACCCGGATGGAGTTGCTTATCAAATGCAAGAGTAACATTGTTCGGTGATGTCTACCCATTGCCAGAAGATCAGCAAGTGTGTATCTTTATTTAACCGCACAGTCTTGAGTGATACATGCGATGTTACCTGTTTAACACCGTTATTTCTGCTACTGGACTTCCAGGAATGGGCCCATAAGCAGTATATGGCTAAGCATCACCAAGGACCTTCCCAACAATGGGGAAACTTTCACTATTTTCGAATGCAGAACATAAGGTTTTTGTGTGTTCTTCTTACATGATTTCAGCCACTCTATATATTGATTGAATATGGGAATTTAATAACAATCACGATTTGTTCTCAGTGATATATATTTCATTGGAGGTTTTGGCACTGTCGCGTGGATCAACGTCAATGAATATGAAGCTCTTCAGCCAGATAAGATAGCTGTTGATGGAGGTGAGAAAAATCTAAAGGTGAGTTTTTCAGGAACCCCTTAAATGATTGAGCCTGCTTAGTGATTTAAAGTGGAA